CCGCCCACCGAGCCAGCCAAGCCCGACAACCTCCTGCGACCTGTGATGAAGACGGCAGCAACATCCTGATCCCGACATCAACTTTGGATATAACACCCACACTGCTATATGAGTCCGAGTCCTTCCTGTTTGGAAACCGGAAAAAAAAACGAACACACACACGCACACACAAGCACGAACACACACACACACACACACTCCCACCGCCGCTGCCTTCCTCCTTTCCCTTTTCTGGGTTCCTCACGTGCTTGCACCGCCGCGTTTCTGCACTACGCGAGCCGCTCGCGAGCTCTGGGAGTGGCCGCTGCCGTCCGTCTTCTTCCAAAGCAACGCACGTCTCGTCTCTCGGCCCGCTGGAGTGTCTCTCGTACGGCGAGTGACATCAAGCTGACGCGAGTGCGACGGACTCTGCGACGGACTCCGTGTGTATCTTTTGAAGATCTGTTGTTGTACCAGGAGTCACGTTCGACGGGGTGGGGTTTAGTCCTTAAGTGAGTGGATAATGGGCACCGCTATCCTCCAATAGGAACCCCTTTGTGACTGCTGGTATATATACTGCATGTATTACATCCTACCTCCCATCGTTGTTGGCGGGGTCTTTTTGAAGCAGAGGTGGAACAACCAGGCGACAGCTCGTACCCTCCACTAAAATAGACTGTATATAATAAATTAAACCACTGAGTATGGTCCTTAGTTGGCAAGTCATTGTTTCTATATATAATATGTTGTCAATGATTTCTATGTTTTCCACTGCGTCGAACGTTTTGATGACATCGGACAAGGGACCATTCACTGGCTGGTGTGTGCGGTTCCTCGTGCGGTTCCTCGTGGCGCCCATCCGTTCCATGAACAAAAAAAAACGCGTTCGCAAGGGATAGTTGAGGGGGTTGCCCTCTGGAGGAGGGGTGGGTTAATTGAAGGATATGAAAGGTTTTGCTGGGGCCGGGGCCGGGTACAAGCCGCCTCTAGGGCCTCATCTAACGTAGGGATCATGGTCCGGGCAAAAGTTCGAGCAACTCAACACGACCTGGAGTCAAGGGTTTGTGCCATCGCGCTCCCTTCGATCCAAGGACTGTCAAACACTTTTTGAAACCATAATCCATATAGTTGGTACTCGTAGGCCATAGGCTAGACTTCGAGGGATAGCTTTGGGCTACCAGTTTCCACAGCTCCAAGGGCCTCTCCAGTGCTCCAAAATGGTCTCATGTCGCTTTCGCTGCTTCGTGATGAAGGAGTTCCTAAAACGACGGCCCGCATGGATCTGCACGTGTCACTTGATCGCGGCCTCCCATCTCTTCCTTTTAGTGGCGGGCATGTATATGTTCCATTGAATGTGCCTGCAGTTCCGGTAGCTGCAGGTCAGGCTCCTGAGCATCCGGACCCCGTATCAATGTGTGACGTCAAGAACGGGCTGTGCGCCACACGTTCATACACTCGTTCGCTCCAGTCCGCCACACGGACACGACACCTGATCCGATTTCACCGTAAATCCCTAGAAGTCCAGTTCGACTATATATTGACCAGCTGGAGTAAAGGATGTTCCCTTTCAGTTCCCCTAAAGACCATTCTTTTTATAGTCTTTGACTCCCAGGGTAAATGAAAACAACATTCACGCCTGGCTGTGCTTCTCCAGATCAGCCACCCGGTCCTCACCAGAAGGTGTGCCACCCAGGCGACGTCCTCGATCCGCGATCCCCGGCCCCCAGCGGGGTGAGAGATGAACACGAAAAACACGGACATCCCAAACGGCCCGTGATGGTGGGACAATCCAAACCTCAAACAACCAAGAATTAAGCTCGCCACTCACCTCTGGCCGGGGGGATGTCTATGTCTCGTGTGTTGTCGATAGTCGCCATCCAAAGACGACACCGTCGTCTGTCGGGAGGGCGGTGCCTCCCACACCGATCGCCCGTTCGAGGGCGCCGTCCCTGCGGCAGCGCTGACCTGCCAAAAGGCTTGCGACCAATGACTTGACCAATGCTTTGATCACCCCCAGTAGCACTAGTAACAAGGGCGTCGCTACGAATGGAAGAAGAAGAAGCGGACTTGAACATTGGGACGCGCTTGACGGACCGGCGCTCCCAGAGCAGGAGAATTGTGCGTGGCCAGGCGTCGCCCTCTGTTCCTGCATGTGTAGGGAAGAAAGGGCGCCGGTTTTTGTTGACGCATTCATGTACATGGAGTATGTCAGAACACATGTTAGTTGGATTTCATTGGCCTGTTGCCAAAAGTTGTTGTGTCAGACAAATTTGGCGTGTCGGACCTGGATGCATATGAAAAAACAATAATCCCCCATGATATGGACCTAAAAAATTGGCACGGGTCAACCTCTATAGAAAACGCTCGTTGTTTAAGAAAGTGGCTGGGACGACTAACCCTAAGGGGTCAGGCATATGCATTTTCTACAACAAACATAGTTTACCAAAGAATAGAGGAACCCATGAAACTGACATAGCCCAGAGACAACAAGCTTTGCTCTCAACGTCGTCTTCTAAGGACCGCCTTGTTTTCTGAAACGCCCCCTTCCATTTCTATTGAGGCTCCGTCCTGTTCTCGGTTATGATAGGACAAGCTGGCTTTAAGATACATAATACAATAACATAAACTCTCATGTTAAAGCCTTTAAGATATAGATGTTATAAAATTGTGTTCAACATCAAAAACCGAAGGCAATAAAGGGACAGAACCCTTCCATGTTCTACAGATGGCTGGGTTTATGCCTGGGGACCTGGTGGGTGATTGGGGGGGGCTGGGGCCTTGAGCCAGAACTCCTCAGGAAGAATGCCTCCCCAGCACAAAACCCAGCAGAAAGTGAGGAGGTGCAACCCTCAAACCGAACCACCGTGATTTTGTAGCCATTGGTGCGTGTGGCCCCTCCAGTAAAACTGTGGCACTGTTATTTGGCGCCTCGAGCAAGCACCCCTCCTTGCCGAAAGCATCAGGCCCACAAGAAAAGGAGCCAAACAGTTTTCTACAGAATGTGGTGTGCCTGGCCACGCGAGAGAGAATGGTAGGGAAACAATTTGGGCATGGGGTAATTTTTTGGGTGTAGGATGCCTCCAGCAAGCAACCTCTTGAAGAAACATGCACAAAGCATCAGCGCCGCGGGGGGGAAAACCTCTAACTCTAACCCAACTACGACGGTTTCAACTCCAAGCGCAAAAACCACCAAAAAAATCAAAGGTCACTCTACAGGGGCTGTGGGCTCACATTTTGCTGCTAAGTGTCAACCCCAAAAACGCACTCAAAAGCCGCAAAGCGTAGAAAACAATTATCCCGGCAACAGGCCCCAAACAGTATGTGTGAGGTCTAGAGGTGCAGTAGCAAAAGCGCGTTGGGGTCCAGAGAGGTGATGGTGGTGATGAAGGTGGAGATCGTGGTGATGGTGGGGCCATCCGCCTCACCAGTGGTGGACGGCCACCGAAGAGGCCACTGGTGAGGGCTGAAAACGTACCTGCGGAACTCTTGCACAAACAGTTTTCCGGTTGGTTTGCTTCTCATGGTGGTTCTCACGCTATACCCCTAAGCCGTGTTTTATGCACGGCGTTCATTCGGTCTGCTAAGTACTCAGTATCTAACTTTCTGCAGTCACCCGTTACCCTTTTGTTAAAACACCTTCAACTCACTGGACCCAGCCGCCTTTCCATGCCTTTCCGTTGTATCGCCCTTTTATCGTGGATTCGGACAGTGGATGAACCTGTGAGTGAATGTGTGTCTTTCCGTGGGAGGGAAAGTGACATTAAGAGTGAGAGTGAAGTGAGAGTGAGAGTGCGAATGAGATTGAGAGTGAGCGTGAGGGGGAGTGAGAGGGCGTGTGAGTGAGAGTGAGAGAGTAAGGGACAGCATTTTGGGATTTTTGGGAACCTCGAAGTGCAAATTTCGTGGCAGACAAAACACATTGTTAACCTCGAAGTGCCGACTTCGTGGCTGGCACAGTTCTTGCGAACTTCAAAATGCAGATGTCGTGGCAGGCACAACACTTTGCAAACCTCGAACTGCAGACTTCGTGGCAATTACGCCTCTTTGCAAACCTCGCAGTGCAAGATCTCGTGGCAAGTGCCGCACTTTGGGGTGTCCGCGGCGGGTGCTTCTAGCGACTGCGTTCCCGTTGTGGTGCCGTGCATTCCCGAACATGGTGGTCACTTTTCGTGGCAGGCGAATGGGAAACCTCGGGCTTTGTTAGTCCCAAAGCGACTTGTCCTGACAGGCGCAACGGGCCGGAACGGCCTTGTATCCTTAAAACGCAGATGTCATGGCAAGCGGAACGCTTGTGGACACGGCGGTGCTTTTCGACGCGATTCTTTTTCCAGGTGCAGTGAACCGTGACTTTTGGACACGTCGAAGGTCTTCGCTTTACAGATTTTCCAATCCGCGGACCGACAAATTATACTAACGCGTACCAATGCACGGTAGTCCTTCGGCAGGGCCGGTGGTCGGAAGTGCCTCTGCATGCCTCCATTGTGACAGACCAACGAATTGAAACCTCAACGTTTCTTTTTGCGCAGCCTTGGCAGTGTGTAACGGACTAGCAACCTGAGTAGGCACAGCCCGGACAGTGCGGCAATGACCTGCATCTGCTCCGACGGGCTGCGCGAATGTTTGCGAATGTTATGCTTGCCCGCGAAATCACCAGTAAAAATTTGCAAAACAAAAAGATTATCGAACACCACCTCCTCCCTATCTCAACATGCTCTGTGGTTTACAGTATTATTTCTGACCCTCTCTACCCCCTAAATAATTCGGAACTCAGGTGGGCACACCCACCTAAGAGTAATACATAATTATTTTTTGGGGGTGGGTGGGAGGGTGGGTGGGAAGCCTATGTGTAAACCTAGATGTAGTAGTCGTGTGTGTCACATGTTTTTTCGGCTCAGGCAAACTCCGTGTGCAGTAGTCAGAATGCCAGTAGTTCTGTTGATTCACGGGCCCTGCAGCTACCATATCACAAGATGGGGTTGGGCGCAACGCGCGTTTCGTAGAGCGTGTAAATGCAACATGCCCTTGACAACATGGGTGGGGTTTTGGCATGAAAATTGCCACGAGATGGTTGTGAACATGTGACGAGCCAATGGCTTCCATTGCGCCTCAGCTGCACATCAGGGCGTCCAACCACGAAAGGCGCTCATTTTTGCGGTTTTCTTGTGTGCAGCACATGTGGTAAGCAAGATGGTTGGCATGACATGCCATACTAAACAACATAAACCTGACACGCATTGTGCAGGCCTTGTGGGCATTACTTTTTGTCCGAAAACTCGTCCAGTGGTCTCTGAACATAAGGTGTGCACGCGCCCGGTCCCGTCTCACGAACACCAAGGCCGATAGCACGCTGGGCTCGGTGTTGAGCAGGGGCTTCGAAACGTATGCGGCGGGCGACGTGTGCATTAAGAAACATCCGAATGGGCAGCTTGGCGACGCGCTTGGGTGGAGGGCGACAGGGAACGACATGGAAACCCAAAACCCGACTGGCCGCAGAAATGACAAAATTGCAAACGCGGTTGGCCGGCTGTTTAGATGGGAGTTTCCGCGCACATTTTGTTGTTAGATGTTGTTAGCACAGACGGTCAAAATTTTAAATTTGCACCACGTGACGTGGTATGACTGAAATTCCGGCGTCCGGTTCCTTCAATGCTGCCGGGTTTTGAACTTGGGCAGCCGCAGCGAATGAGTTCCACTGGCCTCCGCGAATCTCTCAAGCTGAGGCTGTTTGTCGTCACTTTAGCTCCTTCGCACCCTTTGGCGCAACGCGATGCGCCTGTGGTGACGGAGGCAGCGCACGCAGACTCTTTGTCATGAAATTGTCGTACATGCCATGCAACCAAAACGCCTACCGATTATCAAAGCGCCGCTTGCAGGTTCGTTTTGGCGCAGACCTCTGTGAGAACGAGGCGTGTTTTCTTCGCGCGACCTTCTTAGGGGCTGGGGGGCCCAAATCGACCCATGTGAAGAACCAAAAGACCACCTCCCGTGGCTTAGGGATCTTGGGGGGCCTCTCTCTTCCAATGCGCAGCGCAATTGATGCGATTGATGTTGACATACATGCCAGCAGCAAGGCCTGCCCCATTTTTCCACGGCCTGGAGAGCAAAACTACAAGATGTGCAAACATATGGCCATGAGGCCTTGGATCGGATCCCCCCCAGGTTTTTCGTGTTTTGATTTATCAATTCCCAGATTGCGTGAAAACGATGTTCACGATCCTGAGCACGGAGGTGCGCGAAAACGGGTGAGGCAGGCTGACCCAGCCACCGGACTGCCCGCCATAGGCATATGGCAAGCGTTGCCGCGCCTGGGGCCCCAGTCATTCTTCCCCCAGGGCCAGGAATCAATACAATGACATGTGCCTGACTGAAGGTCCTTCAGGCACTTTGCTAGAACATGGGGAACGTGCATCAAACCGGAGTATGGCATTAGAAACTCATGCCATGGGAGTTCGCCGTTGTTTAGTACTGCATCCGGAGGCAGGTTAGCTGCGCGCCAGCAGCCGTATCTCTGCAGCCGAGGGCGGCGCCAACGTCAACACCAAGACGCTCTTGGCCGAAGTGGTGTCGGAGGCAACGCACGTGGTGGACATCTGTGTGGCATGGGTGTGGAGACACGATGGCTACCAGGGAGGTTTGCATTGGGGAGTGCCAGCCTGTCAGCAAACAGCTTGGCTGCCCGACTCCTTTCAGACTCTAGTGCCAGCTCGTCGGATGGAGTGGAGAGGTCCACGCCTTCAAACCCCGTGCAAATGGATGGGCAATGGCAAAGTCTGTGAGGTTGCGTCAGCTAACCTACATTTTTTAAAAAACAACAACAACTAGTTCCGCAAGTTAAGAAGGTCCATCGTTCCGGGTCTTGCCATGTCGCTGACACCGTGCCAAGCAAATCTGTTCAGACGTTTGCTGGACGTGAATCCTTTGGAGGGATCGAAGCTCAATCCTGTGGAGGGGTCTGGGTTCCTCAACTCTGGTTGAGGTCGGGACCGGAACGTCGGGCTGTGAACAAGCGTTGGATCCTGGTGATCCTGGTGGATCTCGGCCGCTTCCACCCCTTTGGGGTTCCAGGCTGGCAGCTACACGATCCGCAGTCCCATCGAGGCCAGGCGTGTGAGTTCCAAGTCCGAGTCGCAGGAATAGGTTGGAATTAATTTTTGAAGTTCCTCAAAAGCCTACAGTCTGGATCAGTCTGGTAATGTCTCGGCGTCGGCTCGGAGTTGACTATTTCATAAAACATGTTAGATTCCAGTGAGTTGGACGGGATGATCACTGCAAGGCTTCATGTGGGATGTAGATGGATGTAGGAGTGGCTGGTGCCTGGGCCCATGGCCATTTTTGGCGTTGTTTGGTGACTGCCATCATCGTGGAAGAGCTTTCTTGGCCAGATTTTGTGGAGGAGGCAACTGTACAAAGGAGCCAAGTGTTTGCCCTTGGGTTTGGAATCATTCTTCTATTTTGACTTTGGTATTGTTGTGCTTGACACATGTTAAATGCCAGCAACGTTCACCACAATGGTGTCAGTGATTCTGATCAAATAACATCAAATGACATGTTTCCACATGGTCTGAAGTACATGAGTTGTCCCATTTCACACACGCAGGCGCGCTTGGTGGAACTGAATAGCCTCTTGTCAGAGGACGGGGGTGCACATCAGCAGGCCGCGGACAACGCCTGACATGCAGGTATTTGTTTCCGAAGTTCCTTCATGTTCCCTCCAATTCTTGCCCATTTGTTTGCTGCATTGGCTCGGTGGTTTTGCTTTGAGAGTAGTTGTCATCACCTGCTCCAGCAGCAAACTGATGTGCCTTCACTGGCGGTGTCGGCGGGTTTTGTTCAATAACATCAATATCTGCATCGCACATCGCCGTTGTGCCGGAAATATCCAGAAATGGCTGCCCTTGAGGGATCAGCACCGCAATCTTTTGTTTTTATGCCGTATAGTTTGTCAACACCTCATTCCTGACTTGTGGAAACCAGACCGTTTATTTCCTGGCATGTGAGGAGCCGCAGCTGCTTCAGCAGAGCCCAGAGGATGAAGGCTTCCTGGCGATCTTGCAGCCCAAACGACCCCAGGACCGAAGAATTTGCTCAGCTCAGATCGGACAAAGGATGATCAAAAGATACCAAAAGGATGCGAAGGGGCCCTAGCTACCGTGAGGCAGACATAGGGGTCATGTGCCAGAAGGCCATGTGTTTTTTCCGGCATCCATACTCAGACCACCCATGTATGGAACAAAGTTACGACGAGTTACAAGATGTTACAAGTATACCTACCCCTGTATGTAGCACATATATATATATGTATGTTTTTCTAGTATTTTTCAATATCTAATTTTCTTCACCGACGTGAGGACGCACGTCGAATCCTGGAGAAGTTGCTCCTGCAAGGTGCGACATGGCCGGGACATGGCGAGGTGAAGGATGGTGAAGGTGACCAGTCAACGAAACATCGAACGACTGCCTCTTGCGATTGACCCATGTTTCTTTCCACGGCACAGGGTTTTGGGTCCTCCGAACCAAGGTCCAAAGGCCATTCGGCGAAGCGGCGTTCTTCGGTCCGTTGTAGTGAACTGAGCCCCCGGGTACCGGCTCCAAAAGAGCGCGGTTGGACGCACACCCAGTCTGCGAGGTGGATAGTGACCATAGTGACCTGAACTACCCTATGAGATCCGCACCTGGGGTACCCAGCTAGGATAGTCGAACGGGGCGGGTTCTGACCCACCTCTGCTGGTGGCGCGTTCTTCCATCTTCATGCATTTTCATGGGGTTAGAATCGTTAGAATGGGTTACATGTCATGTAACTATTCCAGTCCCATGGGTGGTCTGGATATGGTCCAGGACTTCGAATGTCCTAATGTAGACTGGATGAGCAACCCGCCCCAGTTGAAGAGGCTTTGGAATCCAAATGGATGCTCAACATGAGCTGTGGCTCGGACGGATTCGCAAGTCACGCTATTCATCAAGAGTTTACATGACACTTTTCCTTAGATTAGACGTCCAAGACCATTAAAAAACTTGTTGACCTGGTTTTTGTAGTGTAAAATCCGTAGTTGATTCAGTAAAGCCTATTAAATTCACGGTTGGCCAGGAAGCCTAGGGCTTTTGTATCCCTGCGTTTTTTCGTTCCGCAGGCGATGGGTCCGATCCATCGTGGGGGCTCCCGGACAGCGACCGAGGCCAGGAACGGAGGACCGCCCTTCCAAGAGAGGTGGATGAAGTGACCTGAACGTGACGGGACCCGAACGTAGCGCTAGCTAAGTGGAGTACCCAACTGGTAGTTCGTCGGGTCATACGGGTCATGACCCACCTCTGTTGGTTGGGCGTGATTCTTGTTCCGAATCCACCAAGAAGATGGAGATCATGTGAGGGTCCGGTCGCAAAAGTCTGGATCCTGCTGCGATGTGCTGGGTCGTGTTTAGTTTTTTGGCCTCGAAGCCGACTCGAAGCCTGCGAGAAGAATACATTTTTTGTCCAAGTAACTGGCATGTAATTTGTATACCTGGATCAAAAACTTCTGATAGTTTCGGTTATTGACCCGGTTTTCAGCGCAAACACCCGCAAATCAGCGCAACCGACAAAACGACCGCAAATTAGCACAAAACGAATGCAAAAAAACAGCAAATGACCACGCACATCCGCAAAATAACGCAAAACAAACAAAACGACCAAAACGACCATAAAACCAACACGACTAGATTTTTTTGGTAGTTGGAAGGTCCAGGTATATATATATATGTACATGTATTAGGCATTGAGGTACGGGGAATTAGTAGAGTTGTGGCTGTTGAAGCATCTTTCAGGTCCAAATCCCAAAGGAAGTGACAGAGGAAGTGGCTGGCAGAGGACATACATTCACCAAATGAGTCTTGTTTGATCTGAGTGGGTGTGCATGAGTTCTCCGTTCGGCCGCATTTTCCTTGGACCGCCGACTCGCCCCAGGAGTGTTGAATGTAGAGAGGAATGGTACACTTCTCCGCAAAAAGTCCTAATGGTAACTTCCCTAATGGTACACTTCCCTGATACACTTCCCTGAAGTGATGTTTACGCATGATCCCGAAAGGGGGTTACTTTGCCGAAGGCCCAACGGGTTCCTTTTCCGCTTTCGATGATTAGTTCAAGGAGTGAGTACCTGCTGTTCTTCCAACGTTCCCCGGTCCACAGTGATTTCTACCTGGGCAGCTGGCGAGCGCTTGGCCAAGGCTGAGTGGCGGTGGTCCATCATGGGCGCCTGAGAAGAGAGTGAAAAAGGAGCATGGACGAAAGACGCTGAAGCTTTCATTTTTTGCTGCATGAGATCCTACCTTCTACAATTTTTTCCCAGATGCAAGATTTACATACAAAGGATGCACTATCGATCGCGGACGAAGACATACGATGTTAGCGTGCGCAACTGATTTCGTCGAAACAATTTGCCATGCTTTGGATGATGAACGCGTGTGTGCATCCAAGATCTATCTTTACTATGTGGTGCAGCCTTTTTCACAGGGCGCATGCAACGAACTAGTCTTGCCTCACGAGCGAGAAGTTGGGCCTCAAGCAAATTTACAAATCATAATTACCAGATCCAAGACACGCTATGGCCAGCTCACTTCCAAGACATGAATGTCATTACTGAGTTTTTTGGATGGACTCACTTACTCTTCCCGAGGTACACCCTTGTCTTCCCAGGACCGTAGGTTCATCCTTCTACCATGGTCACCTCGTGAAGTTGTTGGGTGCGCCCCTAGCTTGAGCCATGACCCCCAGACCATCCATGTGTGGCCTAGTTACCTACATTGGGCATTCATTCTATTCGTGCTAATGCCGTAGCCACGTCAGGTAGGTCAGCATTTTGACATGGCATTTGTTTGATGTTGTGTGCATGGCTGCCTCTTTTTATAACACGGCCATCTTTTTGGTTAATATATATATATATATGTTGCACTCCCAATGCAAGCAACATATATAGACAGACATTGATATGGATGTTCTGAAACCATCTTGGAGTGGTTTTCACTTGGCCATGGCGATGAGGATTTCAGCGCTGCAGGGGAATAGCGATGAACTTGGTAGAGAACAAAAGTCGCGGATCAAGGAAAAGCAGCTGACCTACAACGAGATTACTTGGAATACGACAAGAGTGGAGATCGTTGTCCGAAGCCATTTGCTTGGCAATGAGGCACAGGCTGGGCTGCGGGCGGATACTGCTGTGACAGGATGAGATGCCCTGACAAAGGTACAAGGCGGCATTCCAATGGTTTTCTGCACAGGTTTGGAAGGCGTTCTCGGCAATTGCAGTATCATGAGGAGGGATCATGGAACAGTCTCAAGCACAAGCAACAGTTCGGTCCGTCAATGGCACGCTGAGACGGACCGCGCTCTCACTCCGAGCGAACTCAGTGACCCGCAGGCCTGGGTGGGCCCTGGGTGCCTTTCGTTCCCAGACTCAGTGAAGCGCAGGACCAGTGCCTTTGGAAATGGCAGATCTTTGGCAAGCTTGACCATCCCAGACTCTGTGATCGAATCGCGACTGTGCCTTTTAGAATCGCTCGTTGGCAAACTTGAGGATCCCTGACTCAGTCACCCACATTGAGAATTGCACCTTTGCCAAGTGAAGCTCACTGAAGACTTGACCAAACCGAATTCAGGAACCCACCTTGGGGGGGAAATGCCTTTGAGCTGTGCAACTCTTTGTCTTTGGCCTTGGCAGATTTAATCGCCCCAGACTCCGTCACCGTCACCCACATTGAGGACAATGCCTTTCAGCTTTGCAACTTGCTGGCTATGCCAACCATCCCAGACTCAGAGATCCACATTTGGGACGGTGCCTTTGCAAATTGCAGGCAGCCTTTTGGCAAGCTTGAACTTGAACATTCCAAACTCAGTGACCCAAATTCGGGATGGTGCCTTTGCAACCCTTGCGTTTTGCACTTCTTTGGCGAACTTCACGATCCCTAACTCCGTATCCCACATTCAGGCCATACCTTCCGTCAGTACAACTCCTTGGTGAGCTTGAACGTCCCAGAGTCAGTGACCACGCTGAGGATCAGGCTTGCACTTCCATAACTACGCTCACTTATATAATGGGTTATAATTGTCGTTCCGTCGAGCCTGTCACGGCTCCAGTCGGTAGGTGGAAAACAGGCCGTTGCGCCTTTTCAGTGGTAGCGGAGCCCCGAACACCGGGGCGGTAGATAGGTTCCTCGCTAGGTCCGCTATAGCTTGAGCCTTGGGATGGCAACCGACGGAGCTGTGGCGGATGGCGCGGCAGCAGCGGATGGTGCGGCGGCTGGGGCAGCGGCTGCAGCGGCTGCAATCAGTGCTGGTGAGAGGATGGAGCTGGAGCCCTCCCTTGCTCCAGAAACAACCGAGCTTCCGATGCCCACGTTCTTTCATCGGCATCGCAGAGGATTGCATCGGTCAGCTCGGATGGCCAGTCAGGACTGGGCAGACTGGAGGTCAGCAAGTGAGGGAGGTGGCTCGGGATCAGCCCTTTCGAGGTCTTCGAGCCGTGCCAGTGAGGACCCTTGGCTGTGGAGGGACCCATGGATGACACCTCAACCCCGACGAGAGCAGGGGTACGCCAACTGGTCTTCGTCAGAGGACTCGTCGAGGGCATCGCGGACGGAGTCGTCGGATGGCAGTTGGCACCGAGTGGAACGACCGGTTCAAGAACGACATGTCTACTGGGCCGATGAGGTGTGGAACCGGACGGACTGGATGGATTCGGGTTGGGATGACTCTTCTTCGAGCGAGTGGAGTGGTAGGTCCCAGGACTGGGGATGGACTGGACAGAATCAGAATTGGGAGACCGATTCGAGCCAGTCAGAACGGTCCTGGAAGAGCGAAGAGTCATCCACCTCATGGAGGTCTGCACAAAGTGAACAGAGGCAGACACTACGAGCTGGTCGGGATCGAGGTGATCAGGCGGCCGGGCTACATCCTGGCCAGGGTGAAGGTGTTGGAGTATATGCAGGTGACTGGGGGACTCCATCAGAGGGACTATCTGTTCAACGAGCTGCAGGTCTTACTGTACCTCCTGGGCAACCTTTGTCAGAGCTGGCAAGTGACCCGGAAGGCAATGGACCGCCTCCGTCTCCGATGTCACCGGCAGCCCACATGACTGAAGCTTGGAACAAGCCCTCGGGAAACATCCCTTCAGGACAACCCTCTGTGGCAGGAGGATCCGGTGCGACCTCCAAGGAGGGTGCAATCAGGGAGAATGTGACGACAGGCGGCAAGATCTCCACCACATACCCGCCAATCTTCTATGCTCGACCAGGTGAATCATGGGAACAATACTGGCGGACGGTGACATTTTGGTTGGCATCCGAGGGGAAGTCGCTCCCCGTCGAGATGAGGGGGCCGAGACTGATGCAGCAATTGCGTGAACGAGCCGGAAAGATCGTCCAGCACCTCACGGTCGAGCAGGTCACCTCCCCAGAAGGTGTGGACTTAATCCGAAGAGAGATGGAACGATCTCCTATCATCAGGCTCCTCGACAACAAGAAGATCGATAAACGGAGACAGAAGTTTATGAAACTCGCCCGGTTGCCCAATGAGAGCATTGAGAGCTTCATTAACCGGGCGGAGATCTACCGCAGGGAGAATGAGACCTCCCCTGCCTATCGGGTTGGATCCTGCTTTTATGTTGGTCACCTTTTGGACTCCGCCAAGTTGACTCGCAAGGACCTTGCACTGCTTAAGGCAGCTTGTGGAGGGGATGTCGAGGACGAAAACAAGGTCATCTCCGCACTCCTGGAGCTGGCCGAACAGTTTGAAGGAGCACCACAATGCCCCATTGGTCGTGGAGAGCCCCAATTGGACAATGAGGATCAATATTTAATCCAAAAGCCGGGCTCGAGCTCTTCTACTCCGACTACATCCTCAGATCCTCCTACTGCCCGACGTCGTTTCTTTCCACGGGGCCGGGGTGGCGGCCGTTTCCCTCGTCGTCGATTTCGTGATGCTCTGATGGCAATCGTGGAGGAGGATGATGAGGAGGCGCTGCCGGATGAGCTTCTGGAGGTGCTGGGTGAAGATTCGTTCGAAGAGGATGAAGAGAAGACAGAGATTCAGCAGGACATGACTGAGTTTGCTGCCGCACCGCATGAGGCCTTTGTGGCCAATCAACCGGAGTCCTCGATGGCGGCATCTCCGTTGGCTGAGATCTATGCCCAGGAATATAAGGCCCGGAACCGGGTCCGAGAGATCAAGAAGATGCGGCAGTACTTCCAGAAGGAGTCCCCGGGAGGCCCGACAGCTGCTCGGAATGAACATGTCAAGAAGTGGGTTGCTGAGCAGCAGAAGAAGGAGCCATGTTTTATATGCCACCAACTTGGCCATTGGAGCCAGGAGTGCCCGTACCGAAAGAAGGTACATTCGGCCAACGTGACTTTTCCCGTGTCACGACCTCAACAAGAGGATTGGGCCCTTTTGGAGTCTCTCGCGGCCGCTGGCGTGTACATGGTGCGAGACGGGAGCAACGAGTCCACTCTCCCCCATCAAGTGTTTTGGGCTTTGGATGAACTGGATGGGAAGGATCATACTAAGATGATTGTGGACTTGGGATGTATGAGAACCGTGGCGGGCACTACATGGGTGAACCGAGTGGTGCAGAAGTGGAAACGATTGAAGCGGTACCTCAAGGTGGTCCCTGAAGGGGAGAAGTTCCGTTTTGGAGATGGACAAGTGGTGGACAGTCAATTTGCGGTCATTTTGGAGGTCGACATTGCGGGCATACAGGCCTTGTTGAGGATCTCTGTCGTTCATGGTAACTGCCCCCCCTTGTTGTCCAAACCGGTCTGCTCGGAGCTGGGATTCGTCATCGACACGGCTTCGCATGCGGTCACATCTAGACGATATGGAGTGAAACAGTTCGGTCTCGAACAATCCAAGGGAGGCCACTATGTCATACCGATTGATGAAGGGGGCACCGAAGGCCGATGCTCGATCGATCCTGATTTTGAGTGGCATGAGAACAAGGAGATTTGTGTGCTCGCCGGTGCAATTGGTTCAGCAATTCGGGACGGGACGTGTGACGGCCCGGACTTCCGCGAGCACTTGGCCCCGGCGACCCATGGCCCGGAGAGGGAGCGGCGAACCAGAGGTCTACGAGTTGTCGCAGAACGAATGGGAGACCGTTGGCGATGGCCTCGCGGAAGAAGAGGACGTGACCGAGCAGATGGAGGCCGAGCCGGAATTGGAGGTGAGGACCCCACTTCGGACAGTTCGCAGGAGCACAATCTCCCGGATGGTCAAGAAGCCTACATCACAGAGTCCACCGGGCAAGAGGTCAGGGAAGCCCACAGCTCGAGCAGAAGCATCACCGGCGAAGATGAAGGGGACGGCAGCAGCATCGTCGAGCGAACAAGTGGACATGGGCAGGATGCAAGCCATGTTCGCGCAGATGCAACAATGGATGATGCAGCAGAAATCGTCGCTGGAGGAAGAGGATCCGGTGGTGGACGAGAAGCCTTCCAGGCGAGGTCGCAGCAAGGAGCCGATGCCGCAGTCGGAGAAGGTCAAGAAGACGCCGCGGGCGGTCCGGACAGCGGCCCTGACAGGAGACGAGGCTCCGTTCCCGTCGCTGTCGACCCAGTTCTCAGCGGATCCCACCATGAACCTCATGCTGAGCCTCAAATCCCAGACGTTGGTGTTCAAATGGAAGCTCCTCTTACTCCTGCTGCGGGTGAAGGGCGCAGTCGAGGTGGACCCCAAGAAGAAGTGGCGGCGAAATCCTCGCTGGGTGATGAAGATGCACGGCAACCACATCGCGTCGCTTTGGGGCCACCTAGGATCAGCGCGCCAGCTGTGCTACTCGCCCAAGGTCGCCTGGCTCGGACAGTAGAAGAGAAGCACTACAAGGGTGGCGACCATGAGCTGGCGAATGACCCAGTGGGGGACGAGAGCTACGCTGGGGCGGCCTCCGTGACGGCGAATGACCCACCCGAGGAGTATGCCATGACCATGGTGGACGACGCGGAGACGGGTGAGTTTGGCAGGGCGTTGAATGATGAACTTCGCAGCCCGGTCAATTCGGCCGCTGCGCCATCATTTCGAAAGCCCCTCAATCGTCGACAGACGAGGACGCTTCAGCAAGGAGTGCAACGAGCCCTGCAGACCCACAACAAGATGTTTGATGTCCTGGATGCGAAGGTCAACATGAAGGAATGTTGGACCCTTCTCGAAGTCTTTGCCGGGCGCGCTCGATTGTCTGACTTGGCCCGGCGACGGGGAACCTGCTGGCGGGTGTTACCTCCTCAAGATGTCCTGTACGGGCTGGATCTGTTACAGGAAGGCGAGCTGCAACTCTTGAAGGATGTGATTCGCACACAACAGCCTGATGTCATCACCCTCGCTCCCCCGTGCGGACCTTGGTCGTCGTGGCAGAGAATGCGCAAACGCAAACAAGTCCTTCGCGACCTCCGGCGGCAATATACCCTTTTGGGAACTGGTCTGCTGGTGCTGGGACTTTCAGAATTCCACAGGGGGCTTGGTGGTGTTGGAACAACCTTCCTCGTCCGAGGCCCTACGGCTTCCGATCATGTCCCGTCGGCAACAAGTTCATCAAAAGGTGGTACACTTGTGTCAATTGGGCCTCAGAGATCGGATATCAGGGCAGCCACATAAGAAGCCCACAGCCGTGCAGATGAACCACCCGGCTTTGGAGACGGCGATGTTTCCGGAGAAGGTCTGTGGCTGTCAGCCGGGAGCACATCAAACTATTGAAGGCACTGTGAGGATTCGGGATCCGATAGAAGGAACAGTGAAGTCGGTGAAGCGATCCACACTGGCTGCGGAATGGACAGAGCCATTCTGCAATTGGCTACTTCACGGCCTTGAGGCCTTGCGAGAAGAGGGAACCGACTGCGTGTTGGACTTGGAACAGCCCACGCCTGCTTCACAAATGTGGGATACAGTGCCTGTGGAGGTGGAGAAGTCAGCTGAAGGGCAGATCAGACAACAGCTGGCGGCAGCGGATGGCCTGCACAAGTACGATTACATCACCTTCTTGGGCAGTTCAGGTGCCCTACCTCGGAAGATGAGATCGACCCTGGCCCATCTGCATGTCGCTCTCGGTCACATTGGGAACGACAAGCTGGCCCGCATGATGTCACAAAATGGAGCCAAGCGAGTGGTCCTGGAGGCGATCAAGCAGTTGGATTGTCAAGTGTGTAAAAGGGTGACGGCACCACACATTACGCCTAAGGCTGCATTTGCTCGGCCGATGTCCTTCAATGTCAGACTGGTGACGGACACCTTCTATGTGTGGGATGCCAAACTACGCAAGTTTGCGGTCACCCACGTGATGGACGCATTCTCGTTGTACCGTTGGCCCGGCAGTGGTGGTGGCGGTGGAGCGCCTCGATGGAGCGATCAAACGGGCGTGGCTACGCTATAGGCACAAGCTCAAAGGCCTCCCTCTCGAGTATGTCAGGATGGCGACAGTGGACGAGATGGAGGCAACTCGGGTGACGAAGGAGGCCTTACAGGACCTGGCGAAGCAGCTGAGCTCAGGCAGAGTGAATGCAGATATCCTGGAGGACGACATCCCAGAACAGCCACCTGAATATCAACCTGATGGTCGGTATCCACAGATGGAGTTCAGTGATGAAGAGGATTCGCCTGAGGCACCGGTTGGGCCGGATGAGTTGAGGAAGGCAACATCAGTCCTGGATGACGTGCCCATGTCAGTCGCCCAAGGTGTACAGAGTGGTCGACACTCGGCCCCTGATCGGTCAACTCGCCGGAGAGTGGGTCCAGCCCCGGCGGAGGCTTCATCAATCCGGGCGACAGTAGCATCTTCTTCAGCAGATGACCCGGCGTTGAGGACGGTGAGGCAGAAGAGAGATTTCTATGAGGAGGCCTTCAAGACCACTCAGGAACACCTCAAGAAGATGAAGAAGAAGCTTGAGCCCCAGTCTACCCTCATCGTAAAGCCAGTCGCTACGTCTCCGGAGATGGAAGAGTCGGAGCAGAGCGGAGAAGTGGAGGATGCACTGGTCACTTCCGAGTCGGCAGATACTAACGTGACCTCAGTCGACTCGCCCTTCATCGACGTCGACTTGTTCGCCCTGCCTTCGGTGACGGATGATGCCGGCCTGCAACATGAAGTGCCCAGCCAGATGTTCGTTACAGATATGCTTCTGGAGAGTGTTCCGTTGGAGAGGCCGTTCGATGTGTTGGAGGCCCGAAGCCGGACCCCTCGAGGCTTTAGTCAAGTGGGGATCCGACGGCATCCTACTCCGTCGACGAGGGCAAAGGTGACCTCTACAAAATGGCGCCAGCTGGGTGACGTTCCCGGAAGACTACGACGGCCTTTGACCCAAGCAGAGTTGGTTGAGGCATACCACAAAGGTGGTTTTGATGACTTCCACATCACCCGAGGCCCTGAAGGTGACTACTGGTTGCATTCCCATTTCAGCGAGAGCTTTGGAGAGTGCATATTCAACCTCGACGACGCATGTTTGTCCCTGGCGCCATTCCAGATGAAGATCACCCACAGGATGCTGAACCACTACCTGCTGGAGTTCGCGGATTACATGGGCTTCGAACTACGCAGGTGGGATACTTGGCGCCTTCCAACACCAAAGACTATATCCTGGACAACCTCTACTGGAAGGGGTGGAATACGGCCTTGGACCCTGGCTCGCCAATGGAGGGGTGTGACCCGTTTTCTGACTTTGGATCCGATCCCGGATCATCCAGTCCTGGCAACGTGGATGCAGGGTCGTGCGTTCGTGGAGGAATTATGGAGACATGGACAGAATGCCTCCCGGGCTTTTCGTGGCTTGCCGGAGGTGATAGCTGACTCCTCCATGACTACGAACTATGTGGAGTTGGCTTTGGAGGTGTTGGCCACCTTTGAGGTCTTTGAGAGCAACAACCCGTTGGTCCATCCTGACCCGCATCCACACTGGCGGGGGCGGCAAGAGTTGGCTGAGGATGACCCGTCACACACCTCTTTGGTGGACATTCCAAAGCCGCCTACTGGGAAGATACGACTCGAACTTCAATGGTCCCAGCTAAGTCCGGCATGGCAGCAGGCATTTGAGGATCCGATCAAGGATGCTTTGGATATCTACTTCAAACACGATGCCCTGACCCATGTCATGCCGGACGAGAAGATCTTGGATGAGGAGGTGCTCCCCAGCAGGTTCGTGCTCGTCAACAAAGCGGACCCGAAGAATCAGCACCCAGAGGACTCTGACTTGGAGGAGGCCAAGTTGAAGGCACGGCTTGTCATCGCCGGGCACAAGGATCAACGTGCTGGTGACTTTGAGACCCAGGCTCCGACAGCTTCCCTCCTGTCCCACAATTTTTTGTGCTTCGTCGCTGCCCAGTACAAGTGGCGAATGTTTTTTGCCGACATTTCAGCGGCATTCTTACAGGGAGATTATCTTCCAGAGGGCCGAAGGGTCTTCATCCGGTCGCCCAAGAACTACCCGATGTTTGTCCGGGAGTTCCTCATGACCAAGATACCTCCGGGGGCGAGGACGGACCTGTTCCGCATGAAGAAGGCTGGATTTGGTTTGGCCGAGAGTCCGAGATTGTGGTACCAGAGGTTCAAGCGGGACATCATGAGCATTGGCGGTCGTGAGCTAGCCCTGGCGCCTGGGGTGTTCTCGTTTTGTGGACCCGATGGTCAGATCTGGGCCCTTTTGGCGGTGCACGTTGATGATGTGAGACTGATCTGCAGTCCAAGAGCCGAAGAAGATTTGTGGCCAAGTCTGAAGCGGCTTTTCACCTTCGGTGATTGGGTCCACCCCAAGGACTTTGTGAAGTTCTGTGGCCGCTACGAGAAGCAGATGGAGGACTTCTCGGTGGTGATCCAGATGGACGAGTATGGCACCAAGATCAAAGAGCCTCCGGTTCGTGCAGCTGGCCAGACTTTGGAACCTCTTACTCCGAATGAGAGGTCATGGATTGGCACGATCATTGGGCAGGTGAGCTGGCTAGCACGACAAGTTCGAGGAGATTTGCTCTTTGGATGCTCCCGGATTCAACAGCTCGCGGGGGTTGGGGATGCCTCCGCATTGCAAGAGTTGAAGATTTTGGTTGATCGAGCCCGCGTTCCACGACGGCAAGTGTTTCGACACCTGGGATGCGACCTGGAGACGATGGTGGTGCTTGGGGTGTCGGACGCATCCTTCAGTGGCATGCCGCGTGGAAGATCGCAAGGCGGTTCAGTTCTTTTGGTGGCCAACCCGACGATCCTGGAAGGAGAGGCTCGCGTGAATGTCCTCACGTTCCATTCATCGCTGCTCAAGCGGGTGGTTCGATCATCATTGGCTGCGGAGATTAGTCAGGCAGCCACGGTGATGGAAGAAGCGGACTTCCTCCGCGCCTTGATGGCCGAGGCTTTGGATCCTGCCTTCCAGCTGCGAAATTGGATGGCATCGGTGGCGAAGTGGCGCCAGCTAGCAGTTTTGGATTCGAGGACAGGATACGACCTCCTCAACGGCACCTCCCTCGGTGAAGACAAGAGGTTGGCGATTGACGTCGCCAGCATGCGACAAGCCTTGCAGGAGGACGGAGCCGCCCGAGCAGTCCGTTGGGTACCAGGAGAAGAGATCTTGGCCGACGATCTCACCAAGCTGATCGGAAACGGTCGGCTCATGGACGTGCTCGAGGGTGGCTCGTGGGCCTTGAAGGACACCGAGACCGCGAAGCAACTGAGGGCGGACGCGGCGGTCCGGAAGCGGGCGTACCGTCAGCGACGGAACGCTCGATAGGCACAGGCTCCAATGGGGGCTTGTGTCGTTCCGTCGAGCCTGTCACGGCTCCAGTCGGTAGGTGGAAAACAGGCCGTTGCGCCTTTTCAGTATAATGGTATATAGCTCCTTGCACTGGCAAGCTTATGAGAAAAAGTGACCGAAAACCGATGGATACTCCCTGATCTCCGTTCAGCCCTCAATCAACACACTGACCGGCGCCAGCGGGGTGAGCCAGCGACCTGATGTGATGTCCGGGTCGCTGTCGGTCTGGGCTTCGCGAAGCCCAGGCGTTCGGAAGACGTGAGCTGAGCGAACACGCCCGAACGGTTCCGATGGGACGAACACGAGTGAGTGAGCTGTCCCGTGGTGCGATGACAGGGATGAACTGAGGATTGGGGGTCAGATGCGGAGGGCACCATGCGCGGGATTTGGTACCAGCACCCCCCGGCGAGAAATACATTTCAGGTCTCCTGAAATGTGGGGCTGAAATGGAGACTTTGTTGAAGGTGGCAGGTGGTGACCTGTGAAGTCAGGTGCTGGTAGATGTGCTGCAATCCGTGCTTGCCTATTGGTTGACCTGCAACCAGAGCATCAGGTTTCCTATATACCTACAGCATCTGTTATAGGACTGTTTGTTTGGCCCTGCGGTGGAGCACTAGCATTTGCTGAAATTATGGCATTTGTTCTGAACACAGGCAACGACGAGTGCATTCTATCATATTCTATCAACGGTCATCCTCAACGTAATAGCCAGTTCCTGCTAGTTTCCCTATTCTTGTTGAAGCGCTCCATTCTAGGATGCCAGGGCGATCCAGGGCGTGTATATGATCGATTTTATTGATTTGTTGCGCCGTAATTTAACACAATATAACAATATATATATATATATACCAGCACCCTCAGGCCCTCAGGTCTCGAGATTTTTCGACACACATCCTCAACAGGTGACCAGTGGGCTCGCTCCGACTCGCTCCGACGCGCTCCTCGCGAGTGTCGCTCCTTTCGTCCTTCGTCCGCTCCAGCCTCCGTCGGCTCCGTCGCTCCGGAAGCGCCGGAAGCGACGTCGTCCGAGAACTCCACCCGGCCGCTGGGCGACGACCCGTGCGGACGCGGAGGTGAGGGACCAGGGTCCCAGAGGTGAGTTCGGCCCGCTGAACAGCAGCGCTTCGGGTGGAAGCTGGTTGGATTTCCTCCATTGAATGAGCATTTTTGCCGGGTCTGAAGTGAGTGACCTCAAACCAGTTTGCCTGTTTTTTTACATGGACAGGGGATCAAGGAATCGGGTAATTAGACAGGAATTCGCGGACTGGCACGTACTCCGAACATTTTGAAGTGGACCACTTCGTGTTTGTAAAAGGAACCCGCCTTCTCAAGGGCTCATGGTTTGTTCCATGTGCGTGGAATAGGTTACGTCAATGACTCAGGTACACCCTGCGAGTCAAAGAACAATTGAAAGGAATAGTCTGACTAGGTGACCCGAGTCCAGGAATATTCTTTACTGCAGTCACTCAAAGTATAGGTCCATCTTTTGGCTGCATGTTATAGGGCCTAGAGCTGGTGACATAGCCGTTCGTTGCGAGTGTTTGCTTGCCGTTCGTGCGATGTCTTACTGGGCTCAGATCACTGGGTGACTGGTTTGATGTATCTGTCAGGTGAGAGGGGCATCCACTCACTCGATGGGCCCCAAAACCATTCCGACCTGAAACTGGCGGAACCTGACTCCTTGGGTGATTTGGGATTTGTTGGGGGTGTCGATGACCTGCAACAGTCAACAAAAAGGTCATCAAAGATGATACCTGCAGCTGGGGCCCAGGGAATGGGAGAGATACCTGGGATCTGACGTGGGCAGCTTGCTAGGGCTCTCAGATACCTTTCAGCTCGGCTCTTCAACGATCAGCTGGTGGAGGTCGGATACTGAACTCCACCGAGAAGACTTAGGGGCTTGGTGCATCCTTCAGACCCCTGCGAAGGATACTGAACTCAGGATCCCCGCACATCACCGACACGAGATTTGGTCGAAGTGGTTCCTCCAACATCTTTTCCCAGAAGGTGGCTTGGTCTGTTCTGATCTTGTGGAGATCAGTGGCAAGTATGCCACTAGGTGTCTGTCTACGGCGTCCATGGGCGGAAAGACCCGAGAGCACCACGTCGAAGAACATCCGCCCATCTCACTCAGATCCATGGAGCGATGCGATGAGCCGAGGCGCCGTCACACATCTGGACGGTTCTTGTTGCGTCGCACTCCCTGGAACCGGAAATGGATGGCACGGTTATTTTGCAAGACATTGCAAGACCATTTTCCTCAACCCATGGGTAGTTCCTTGCCATTTCTTCTCCCGCTTCCGTTGCAGTTCCAGGGCCGGTACTGTCCTCAGTCGACTTGAGGTGTGGCATCCTACACGTCGAATACATGTGGATGGCACTACCCAAAAGAGTCTTCCTTTCGGGGCCATGCCACTTCCACCATGTGCGTGAGTCAGAGTGTACTCAGATCTAGGCCCGAGTTTGGTACACAAGAAGTCTCAGTTCAAAAGGAAGATGGGAAGGTGTTCCACCTCCCTTCGACCCTTTGGACGGTGAAGATGGGGTCCGGTGGTCACTGGATCTGTGGCTTAAACTGCGGGGTCCGGTGGTCACTGGGTGATTAGTCGGAAGGTGGTTGGTGACGAGTCAGAGCTCAGTGATACGTTCGTAGCGTCCACTGTTCGTAGTAAGGCCAGGCCCCCCGGGTCGCGTCCGCTCCCGTTCGGGAAAAATTGTTCCGTTCGTAGCGTTCACGGTTCCTGGGCCCGGGAGCTCAGCGGGGCCCTGCACTGAGAACACCTGTCGCTGGGCGAGATCGATTCGGCGAGTGGAAGAATCGGAGGGCTGACAGGGTTGTTCCCAGCCGCCCTCACGGTTTTTATCGAAAAAGCATCGACGTTGTAGCTATTGGCCGAGCCCGACGGCCTGCGATCATCTTGCTTGCAGATTACAGTTTATAGTATATCGTTCTAGTGCTGCTAGTGATCCTGAAGTTCCAGGTCGTTGAGAACCTAGAGGTTGCAGATAAGACCAGAACATTCATGTTACGTTGTTTTTTTCCGAGGCCGCAAGCTACAAAAGCAGGGCTTCAAACCATTCACAACGTCGCACCACAAAGACTTCGGAGTGAACAATTGAAGCAGCAACAACAACAACAACAACAACAACAACAACAACAACAACAACATGACCCAGACCGTCCAAGTATGGAAAAATCACACCCCCCATTCAATGACATCTTATGACCTCTGTAAGATGTCGTGAGTACCTACCTTCCATCTACCTTTCATACATGGACATGTTCTCTGGCTGAGTGAGACCTTTTCCTTTGGCCCAGAAACGCCTGTCCGGAAAAGAAAAGGCCTGTCCGGTCGACTCGACCCCTCCCATCACCCCCGGTGCCCCCCGGTGCCAAGCCTTCGCATCGGTCCGGTGGAGCAGGTGATCCAACGTGACATGCTGATCTTTGCCACGGCCCGATTCGGCGATCCTTCGTGCTGCGCTCCGCCCGACCGGTCACGTGAAAAGCTGTCGTGTTTGCGGTTTTTGTGGGAGATGTAGACTAGGATACAAAAGGTGTTATATTTTGTGGCGAAAGTTTGTGGTAGTTAGTTTTCAGTGCCATGCCATTTATATAGTTAGTTCTTAGGGGGAGTGCAGCTCAAATCCTGGAACTTAGAAGCAAGAACTTGGAAGGACAATATGGACAATGCTCTTTCGCCTCGGAACTCGATTTCCATGATTCTGAAGGGTGTTTGTCCACCTTTGTGTTATTTGGATCTGTCAACTATATGCCAACTTTCTGCTTTTTCATCCGTAAGCCCGCCAGGTTTGGAAGACGTTTTGCATACGGGTCTACTCTCCGACTCACTCCCATCCGCAGTTTCAACGAGCAGGAAACGCTTCGAACTCGGCCGTGGTCTGCATGAGTTGGCAGTGCCGCGCGGGTGGCCGGCGCCAGGTGAGTCAATGGGCAGCGGCCCGGGCAGTACCTGAGAGGAGCACCGAAGACTGGGGGTAGCAAGAAGCTATTAGTAACTAAGTGCATCGCTACTAGTAGCAAGAAGCTACTAGGTGCAGGCCATCGCCATTAGGTTGGAGGCCATCGCTACTAGTAACAAGAAGCTACTAGTAACAAGTGCGTCAGTGCATTACGACTAGTATCAAGACAACTAGTGCAGTGGCTTCGGAGTAGATGGCACCAGCTTAGCCAAAACAAAAAACGATTGGGGTCCACTACTATCAAGCACCAACCCTTGCGGTAACTTTTGGTTCCATCTTTTCACCACTTATAAGTTGGATGAAAAAGGATGAACATCGGCATCTTCAAGAATCATCCCCCGATGGTTTGAGGTTCGGGTGTGTGGTTTGAGATGCCCTGTGACTCACTAACATAGGAGTGGAAGGTGTCCCCATCTGACCCCGAAAGGAAGAGGATTTTTCCTTTGGCGACAGGGTGGGATGGGGTGGGAGTGTCCACTTCCACGTTAGTGAGTCGCAGTGTATTTGTTCTTCTGCAATGTTTGCTAACTATCCGCCACATGGTTGCTACAAAAGTGGCGAAACCAGATGGCTAACATTTAGGATGACTTAGTACTGTATGTACTGCATGTTTCAACACTAAGATGATTGCTGGATCCTGTCCCTAGACCGATGCGACAAGTTGTTAGTGTAGTGGTTTTCGGTTCTCACTGGGGATGCGAGCGTGAACTCTTCGACAGGTAGTTTCAGGGCAACCCAGTGAGTGTTGGGGAAAGGTGAAGACCACGACTGCAAAAGGTGTCGGGAGAACGATTCTATGCCTGAACCCGCTGTGCCGGTGCTCGTGAGGCTGAAGCTGGTGCCATGTCCGTGACAAACATGTTTCCCAAAAGCCTGAACAAAGAAGCCAAGGAGCAAACAGCAGCAGAATGCTGAATTCCCTACAAGTGCCCATGCGAATGCCGGGCGTTGCTGCAAGGGGGGATGCCTGAACCCGGCACCAAGGTGAAGAGAGCCATGGCGGAGAGAGTTTCGGCCTTCCGTCCGAGCGGTGAAGAACTAATTCTTGAAGTCACGCCAGAGATGACAGGCCGAGAGCTAAAAGAGCAGATCAAAGAAGGACAGACTTGGGATGAGCCTACTCGCAGGACGACCGCTGTCGAGATTATTGTCGGAGACTGCCACATGCTGGCCAATGATGCAAAGGTCTTGGCAGAGATTGCCGCGGACACAGTGGTGAGTGTGGTTTTTCACCCAAACATAGTGAGATGCTCCAACAAGGATGCACTCTTCAGTCTTGGCAGCGCCATTGATTCAGAAGTGCTGCTTGCGGTCGAAGTCCCAAGTGATGAAACTCAGATCTGTGGAATGGCTTTTGCAGGTTGTGACAAGCTAGCGAAGGTGACCATCCCAAACTCAGTGACTCACATTGGGAATTCCGCTTTTCAAGGCTGCACGTCTTTGGTGAGCTTGACCATCCCAGATTCGGTGACCCACATTGGCAACAATGCCTTTAGGCGTTGTAGTTCTTTGGCCAGCTTGACCATCCCAGACTCAGTGACCCACATTGGGGGTGGTGCGTTTCTGGGTTGCCGCTCTTTGGCGAGCTTGGCCATCCCAAGCTCAGTGACACACATTGAGAGTCGTGCCTTTGAGGATTGCAGTTTTTTGGCGGTCCAGACCATCCCGGACTCTGTGACCCACATTGAACAGTTTGCCTTTCAGAATTGCAGATCTTTGGCCAGCTTGACCATCCCAAACTCAGTGACCCACATTGGACCTGGTGCCTTTTTTGGTTGCAGTTCTTTAGCAGACTTGACCGTGCCAGACTCCGTGACCCACATCGGAGAGAATTCCTTTGAGGGTTGCACACGGTTGAAGAACTTGACCATCCCGCAGTCAGTGAAGAAGGTGGGAAATGGTGCCTTCAAGGGCTGCCGCTCTTTGTCGAACTTGGCCATGCCGAACTCCTTAACCCACACTGCGAACTTTACCTTTCAGGAGTGCGGCTCTTTGGTGAGTTTGACCATCCCGTGCTCTGTGACCCACATTGGAGATTCTGCCTTTAAGGATTGCAGTTCAATGCTGAGCTTGACTATCCCAAACTCAGTGACCAACATCGGCAATTTTGCTTTTGAGGGTTGCAGCTCCCTCGCAAACTTTACCGTCCCAGACTCAGTGACCCGCATAGGGGATCGTGCCTTTCAGGGTTGCAGCTCTTTGACAGACTTGAGCATCCCAAACTCGGTGATCCACATTGGGGATTCTGCCTTTGCAAGTTGCACATCTTTGGTGTTGAGGGTGTCCACGCGGACCACCTACACTGAGAATGCCTTCGAAGGCTGCAAGTGGATCAGACTTCAAGCTGAGAACAGCCAATTTGCAGCATAAACTCTCCCTCCCTGCAAGAACCATGTTACGTGGATGACTGGCCTCGACTTCGGATTTGCTGGAGCTGCAGCTGGATGACCATGGCCTCGCCATCATGGCCCCTGTTCCTGATGAGCTGGAGCCGGCTCCAAGCGGGGGATGCGCGGTCTCTAACTCCGGGCTGCTCCGGGTGCCGAGGCATCGAAGACATCGAAGCATCGCCAGCATGTCCCCACGAGAGTCCTCCAGGCAGTTCCCGTCGCTGGGAGTTCCAGTGGTGACCTTCTTAGACTGAACCAGTGACTGAAGGGCCCCTGGGATGCATGGAACCGAACCGGTCGCTGGATGGATCTGCCCGGCCTGATGCGCTGCGGTGGTGTCTCGCACCGGATGCGCTGGCGTCTCGCACCGGGCAAAAAGAAACCGGTTCGTTTCAGACGGTCCGAGTTCAGTGAACTTCAGAGCTTCGGGGACTGAAAACACCGAGGACCCCCCCCCACGTGGAAGGCATTCGAGACTCTCCTTAGAACGGGGGTTCCCCTTTTGGCAGAGGAAAGGTGCTTTTCGAAGGAGCCATGTTCCACTTCGTAGCTCCAGGGATTGCCATGGTATCTCCAGGGAGCTGAGTGTACCATCATTAGGGCTTCCACTGACACCGTTCCCAATCCCATGGCGCGACCGAAGACGGTGCGGATGGGGCGAAGCCAAGACGCCGCACGCCGCATCGGTGTGCGGGGAGGCCGCGTCGGTGTGAGGTGAGCTTCTTCCCATTTGATGTGGGAAGACTATACTTGTAGTTATATGCCAGTTTCTTTGCAAACCATGTCAGTTGATCCCATTTCTGTTTGCCAAACGGCCTTTTTCCCATTTTTAAGGTCATTGGGGGCATTACGAGTAAAAACAATATTTGGACAAACACATGAGCAATAGGGCTTTTTCCCAGAATGACCATTTTGTGCGTGTAGCTTTCCAGGAAGTCATAAGGGAAAGATAAGCGGCCCTACAAAATCAAAGGCTACTAGCAAAAAAACATTTGTTATGTGTTTTTTTTTGTCGCGTGCGCATATTCTGCACGTGGGGCTTGAACTCCGCTTTGTTTTGGACTTCGAGAAGGAAGATGTCAAGGAAGAAGAGCTTAACTTCAGAAAGCTATTAATTTTTAGCTTCAGAAGTATCTTGATTGATGGCCGGACATGCTCGACCAAGCACGTCCGGCATGCCAGTCCGGTGTGCGGCGGCCATCGGCAAAATGTGAAGCACCATACCTTCACTGCAACGTCTCAAACTGAAGTGAACATCGATGGGAGGCTGATGCAGTTGCACCCACTTGACAACAAGCGTCAATTTATCGCGCCACACTTCAGCCGTTGGTCATCATGAGTCCTCCTCAATTTCCACAAAAGGTTCTTCCATGTTCTTCCAAAACACTCAGATACTCTCAGGAATCCCGCACGTCGTACATCACGTCACATCACACCGATCGCTTTGGTGCGATTGCAGCGGTCTGCCATGCTCAGCCCACGCAGCCCGCACGCGCGGGGCGCTGCCGCGCGTGCGGCGCGCGAGACGCTGGGCTGCTGTGTCGGGCGGCGGAGCATCGCTGGCATCCCACGGGAGGTGGTGGTGGCCAGTGCAGCGCGGACACCCATAGGCTAGCAGCCGGGTGGGTGGGGACGTCGATGACAGATCAAAGAAGATGTCAGGTGTCTACCAGCTGCTTCCAAGGGTCACCAATGGATATCTCCACACTACTTACAGGTCTCCATTCGGCACCCCGACAGGAAGCGCTAGGTATAGGAGTTAAACCCTGCAAATGGCGGCAGATCGTTCTTTTCCGGCAACACATTCCAGCACAACTATAGACTCTATGTTGGTGATTGTTGGTGCGATTAGTTAATGTCCCCCCAGCATATGAGCCCTTGATCAAGACATGTCATGTCATGCACTTTGGCAGCGCCTGTGGATGCTTCTGACTGCTGGTCGTCCACTCATGTACTGTATTCCTTGAATATTAGAACCATGTGCCTAGAACCCAGATCATGATCCATGTATTGATGGAAAAATGCCACAGTGTTGTTGGTGGTTCAACATAGAGGTTATTCAGGTGCTAGAGGTGGTGGGAGATGATGCGTAGCCTCCCCCCCCAGCTGGCTGATTTTTCCTCCCAACAAGGTCATCATGTCATCGTGGCGAGCTTCTGATTCCCCTGCCAAGTGTCAACGATTCGCCTCGGTTTCTATCAGCTGTGCTGCGGCCGTGCTGTTCCTCAGACTGTGTGCTTGGCAAACCTCGACCAGAGTGGTTTTGACTGAAAAGGTCGGGGTTGCTTTGAGTGGTCTGTAACTCTTACACGGTGCCCTCGAGGGGAGAAACTGTTGAACATCAACCCACTTGATGGGACTCAACAACCCGAGGATCATTGGGAACAAATACACGACAACACCTGGATGTTCCAGGCGGAACTTTTGCACGGAATCTTGGGAAAAGCACCTGGAACATCGAGGAACTGGTGCAGATGGATGAACACCTCAGCAAATTCTGGGGGACTCATCAACAGCCTTCGTCCCTTCTCCATGCTCGGAGCCTCCAGAGGCGCCTTCTGTGGTGCCCTGTCGCTCATGCCCGTGCATCGCTTGGGTGCCGCGGCCCTGGGCGCCGCCGTGCGGCGGGCGGGGCTGGAACCACACGAGGCGGAGCGCGACGGCGACACGCCCGAGACTTCTGGATGAATAACACTCACTTGGAATTGAAGATCCTTTTCTGATGGGGGATGAAATACCATCAAGAGGCCACGTCACATTGGACTCGTTGTTGGATGAAGTTCACGGTGCTTTCGTTCCCAGTGGCCGAATTGAACCGTCCCCAAACCCGAAAGAAAACACCACCGAGATGCGCAGCGGATAGATCAGCAAAGAGAACAGCACCTTGCCCAGATCACATCGTCATCTTGTTGTTTGGGCGCGTCGGTCCGCTGAGGTGGAGATGGTGCTGATGGGCCATGCGATGACGGCCGGCTGTGGCAGCCACACGGCGCGCCAGGCGGCCCATGCGGCCGAGCTGCCGGCGACGGTGGACTGCACGGGCGTGAACAAAGGCAACGGGAAGACGAGCCGGAAGGTGCTCGAGCATCCTGTTGAGGGTGTCCCTCTAAGTAGTGCTAGGGATGTGTAGAGTAGTCCAGCCAGGACACCCATGCAGGATGGCACTGGCCGTTTCAGTGTGCAAGGATTGTGACATGCCAAGGCAATGGAAATCCCTGACTACCATTGTTCCAGCCATGTGGCGCTTGCATCCAAGACGCTCCCCAAAGAGAATAATTATGGGAAGCCAGGAACTTGGGTGTGCCCATCCAGCAGAGGTGGGTCAGAACCCGAACGTTCGACTCTCCGAACGTTCGGTACCCCTGGTTTTCCGGGTCCTACACTCCCGAGTCAACTCACGACCCTAACGTCCTGGCCCCCTGGGTCCGCATGTTTTCCTCTACGAAGCCGTGGTTTTCAGGGTCCATGGGATTGTCGCCAGCCTAGCGCTGGCCCTCCGATCCGGCAGATCCAGGGTGTAGTTCAGGTCACTCTCCACCTTTGACATCTCGAAAGGTCCGGGGCATCAGGTCGGGTGCAGGTGCTGTGAAGAGGGAGCCCTGGACCAGGTCAGGCGAGCCCTGGACCAGGTCAGGCTGAAGATGCACCACCCAAAGGGTAGTTCATCGATCCCCTTGAAGATGCATGTTCCAATAGGTTCCATCATTTCCATCCAATAACCATCCTTTGGGTGGTGCTGGTGCAAGACTCTTCTGGAAAAAGCTTCTAGACCACCAAATGGTATAGAAAAGCCGAGCCCCAAATCGATCGAAAAGCCGCAGGAAAGCCGATCCCCACATGTTCATGTCATTGGAAAATACCAATTCGATCTATCAAACGGTCCTCCCAACCTCCCTGCGACACCCCCGAGAACGCGCCCTGTCCACCCGCACGTGGGTTTGGATGGGGGTTGCCCCCGTCCAGCCACACGCGAGGTGGGGAGGTAAAAGGGCAAAAAGCCCTAAGGCATTTGCAACATCTGTGAACAAAATTGAAAATAAAACATATATATAAGGCATTTTGCAAATTCATGCAAATTCGGTGAGACATGGAATTCGACGAACAAATCCTGCTTCAGTTCTGAAAAGTTCACCCTCAAGTCAAGTTGCACCTTCACTCCAAGAATATGCTGGTTGTAGTGCCTGAACACCGGACCTCCATTCCACTCGAAACGGTCACCACTCTCACCGTCTGGAGGCTGCGCGTCTGGGCTGAAGGCGATCACCTTGGCGGCTCAGGCGATTGCCATGGGGCAGGTGCGGACACTCGCGTGTTGGGGTGTAATGTTTGAAGAAACGATATACACCAGCACCCAAGGGGTGGTGATTGGATGAACAATGCATCTTCCCTAGCCTTCAGTTCGACCATTAAAAGAACGGTTGAGCTGGTGGTGTAGTGTAAAAATCCTTAGTTTAACAATGGTTCTTTGGTAAAGACCATTAAAACAATGGTTGTTTGAATCCTAGGGTCTTCAGTTCTTTTTCTAAACCACCCGACTTGGGTGGTGCTGGCAGGAGTTCTTCTATGTTGGGATGGTATATTTGAGTTGCCGCTTTTTTGGTGGGAGAATGAAGGACCTTCAAATCATGAAGGCCCTTCTCATAGCATAGACCGGGAACTTCATGGCCGATGCGGAAGGGTTTTCTGCACCGGACCGCGGACCATTCGAGAGTCCAAGCTGCGCCGTGTCATTGCATCGAAAAGGCGGGTTTACAGGTGCCGCTGTTTCCATCAAAGATGGGCCATGTGGACTGATATAGTGTAGTAACTGGTGGATTCGGGAACTCATTTGCATTTTGGAAGGTTCCTTGGGACCAAGATGCACCAGATGCGATGCAAGAACGAGTAACTTCTGAATCCTCGTGGTTGGGAAGCACGATCAGAACTGAACTCGTTGAACCCCTGCTTCTATAGTGGCGTGGCCATTTGCCAACCACTCGCATTCCTGCATTTTTCCTGAGCTTCCAACATCATTAAAGACAGGTTGCCCTTAGCAAAAGCATGTGAAATAAGAGTTGTTTGAAGATATCGGCACCCTTTAAAATTTAAACCCACTGGAGCAGGGCTCTGTTTGGGCGCATGTAACTATGCCTACTGGTGAGCCCTCAGGGGTCAATCTAAGCAAACAGGTCGATGTAAGCAAATTCTATCACACATGGAGTTGACCACCCCTGGTCATGGCTCCACATCCACTCAAAACACTGAGCTGCATGGATACTGGACACTGATTCGCGAACGACGATCCCCCCGGTTGCAGTGTTTGAAGGAGGTTAGTTCACGCCAGATCCTGAACTCAGGTGGATGTGGCGCTCTGTGGAGGCATGGACCCTTGGCCATCCTTGCGAGGCATCGGCCGGCCTGGCGACTCCGATGGGCGAGTAGCCGATGAGGAGTCGTCTTCCAATGTCTTGAAGAGAAAGGTTGACCCGGTTTCGGAATGCAACATCCTCAGCATCACCAGGGTAAAACCAGGTGCAACAAGGGATCAAAAGGGCTCTTCGTGGTGCTTGACGTGCTTTGACCATGTCCTTCGCAACTGGAGCTGGCGCCATCCCTCGGCCTTGCTCGATGGGAGCTGTCCCGCGTTTAGAAACGGTGCTGTCGCCGAAAGAACGAGCCTCCGGCAGGGTGGGCAGCTTATATTAAGAGATGGAGAAAAGGCATTCTGAACCTCCCAAAAAGGCGGCTTCGTCAAGGATTCTGACCATCAGACCCTCCTATCAAGATTTTTAACCCTAAAGAATGCGCAGAAGATGCTGGGATTTGGGGCCTCAAAACCTCAATACGCGGAGTCTTAGGGGGGTGGCATGGTTTGCGTATGGGGTGGCATGGTCCACTCTCTCCTTAGTGAGTGGGAGTGTTTATCATTGTTTATCCCAAACGAACACTTGAGCCACAAGTTTCTGGTGATGTGACCCTTTTCGCATGGCTTCTCCGAACTCTGAGGAGAGCATGTCGCAAGTGCCCTACTTTCTCCGCCCCTTTGGAGGGTGTTTATGACCACCCAGAGGCTGCACAAGTGAGAAAGCAGGGAGACTGTGCTCTTCGCTGTTTGACACACTCGCGTGCTAGCGATTGACCCGAAAAGAAGCGATGTCCCTCCAAGTTCGGCCGTATACATTCTGCAGTATCTCTCAGTCTTACTTTTCCATGCTAAGCACCTGTCGGAGCCGTGGCCCCTTCACTACCCAAAAGCACCTACCCCATCCGACTCTTCTACCCCCAAGTGGTGTAGGGCAGGCATGGGCAGGCCAGGACGCCCGGAATTTGGATGGTCCCGGAATCGGAAACACATCACCAGGATTGCCAGGAGTTGTTCCCAGGTACAGCGTACACATCACCGGTTTTGAGATCACCGGCGAAACACACTGGCTGAAGGCCCCGAAATGGAAGAAGAACCATACCAGCACCCTCCAACAGGCTGTTAGTTGAGGGTTGTTGGACCTTAACAGATCTCAATTGATGACCTGTCGGAGGGTCCTGGTAGAAGCTCTGTTTTTTCCAGCGCACCAAGGGGAAATTGAACGCCTCTCCCTGAGGCTCGCGACACCCAATGCGGACTCCGAAGTGACCGGGACTCCGAAGTGACCGGGGCTCGAGCCCAAAGCCCTGAAGGATCGCGTTTGGTTTCCAAGAAGGGGAGGGAGTGAGTCCATCGGGCACGGGGCCAGGCCCCGATTCTGGGAAACCTCTTGGAATCTGAAAGGGTCTTTTCAGTCAGGTCTTTTGCCTGTGAACACAGGGGTGCAATGACCCAGGCACTCCATGGGACTGCCATATATTGCCTACATTGACGCCTCCAAACCACCCCAACTGATCGGCATAATTATATGGCAGTCCCATGGAGTGTCTGGGTGAGTTCAATTCCAAGGCGTGGATAGATTCTCCGTCCCGCTGGAAGATGTTTCGACCAGTCGCCTCCCTGTTGTGCCCTGCCACGCTTTCTCCGGCCTGTCTCGCCCCCCCAGCACCCTGTTCCGGCGTGTCTCGGGCGTCTTGGCAGTGCTGGAGCGAATGAGGCCATGCACGGCGGGGAGGATATCACTATGGCCACGGGACCTTGGAAGATTCCGCACTGTCCGATGGGCGCCTCGGCGCCCAATCCGAGGACCGAAGAGCTCCTGCCGAGCTCGGGAGCGGAATGAAGACTGGGGGGGAGAAAAGGAACCTGTTGAGCAAATGAAGAAAGGGAAGACTGGGACGGGGGGATTTCTGGATGGATCGAAATACCAGGACCTTCCCACAAATGTTTGAAGACCACGACCGTAACGGCCTGTCAAAGCTCGCCCTGTTTCGGAGGGTCCTGGTATAGGCGCCTATATGGCTTCACCAGTGGTTTGAACGTCTTTGTTTCGCTTGACGGTCCCATTCGAAAGGCTCTGGGATGCCACCAGCAATTGCCATCTGAGCAGCTGCGTGGAGCACACCGTGGAGGACATGCGGGATTCCGTATGACCGTCACGTGCGGTTTGGTGATCGGAAGGGTGCCACGTACATCATCTACGCGACGCGAAGTGGAACGATCGTTTTTATTATCGTGCCAATTTCCACTACCAAATGGGTGGCCTCAAGGCCACTAAACAGAAAAACGGTGCATTTTGTAGAAATGAACGTTTTGGATGTCCATCGCATTCTTTAGTAAGATGCTGTGATTTGCACCCCAGACGTCAGGCAGAACGTTTTGTAGAAGCCCTTGATTTTTGTAGTGCGCCATATATCCATAGGTGTTTCTTTTAGCACTGTGTTTTTGCATGGTACCTTGCATTTTGTAGCAAATGAGGTTGCACAAACAGTTCTGTATAACTACAAAACTCTACAACATGTATTGTCCAAGGTCGCCTTGTGGTGGGGTTCCTGAGCGAAGTATGTCGAGTGAATGTTGCAGCCAGAGCAGCCGCCGGGATCCACCAAAGCAAAGAACTTTGGAGCAGTCCCTTCACAGCATTTCAATGAAGATGTGGCGTTACATCAGTTATAGGAGACTAATATAGACTAATTGATTATGCAGATTGTGTAGCATTGTGCACATGCAATTATGCACATCCCCGTCGGAGTGGCTGCTAATTCAACATTATTTATTCACCAACCTCAGCCATGGCGATGAGATTGTCGGCGCTGAAGGCCAACGGAGAAATCATTTGTTTTGTAGTCACGCCAGAGATGACAGGCCGAGAGCTAAAGCAGCAGATCAAAGAAGGACAATCTTGGGATGAGGCAACGCGCAGAACTACTGAGGTGGAGATAGTTGTTGGAGGCAGGTTGCTGGGCAACGATGAGAAGGTGGAGGACGCGGGGCTGGATGAAGATGCTGTTATAACCGTTCTTTTCAAAGCAAGGTTGGTGAGATGTTCAGACAAAGGTGCGGTCGCCAACCTTTACAGCCTTGTTGACCAGGAACTGTTTGCTGTTGAAATCCCACGCGATGAAACTCAAATCTCTGAAGCCGCCTTTGCGGGTTGCCATGTATTTGCCAAGTTGACCATCCCTGACACAGTCACCCAAATTGGAAGGTCTGCTTTTCAGTCATGTGGCTCTTTGGCAAGCTTGACTATCCCAGACTCTGTGACCTGTATTGGGCATCATGCTTGTCAGCATTGTAGCTCTTTGGCGGCCTTGACTATCCCAGATTCAGTGACCGACATTGGGCATAGTGCCTTTGAGAATTGCAGCTCTTTGGTGGCCTTGACCCTCCCGAAGTCTTTGACCCAGATCCTGGACGGTGCCTTTGCAAGCTGCACATCTTTGGTGAACTTGACCATCCCAAACTCAGTGACCCACATTGGTCATCGAGCTTTTGAGGATTGCAGCTCCCTGGCAGGCTTGAACATCCCGGGATCAGTGACTTACATTGGTCATAGTGCCTTTAGGAATTGCAAGTCACTAGCGAACTTGACCATCCCAGACTCAGTGGCCTACATTGGGCACAACGCCTTTCGGAATTGCCGCTCCTTGGAGGAGTTGAGCATCCCAAGCTCGGTGACCTACATCGGGGACGGTGCCTTTGCAAGTTGTGAATCCTTGGTCCTCACAGTGTCTTCTCGGGCTGCCTATGGGAAGAATGCCCTTCAAGGTTGTAAAGAGATCATAGCACCATACCAAGCTTCTTGCTCAATTCTTTGAAATCGGTCCCTGAATGATTGTCAGCCAGCACCTTCGACTCGTCCACGGCGCTGTGAAACTGCACTTGGCCCGTGATCCCAAGGCAACCGGAAAGAGTTCATTGTTTCGTACGACAGCTGAAGCTCTTGACATAAACAGCGGTTGCAGCAGTTCAGGGTATATACATGTTCAACTGGCTGTCCAGCTGCCTTTGGCTTCTCTTAGCTGCTTTTGTTTCAGACTCCTCTCGTGTGTCATCGAGCACCAACTTTACCATCGCCGTCATGGGCCGTATCAGTTCTTCGCAAAGGCGCAGCGTTCAAGACATGAAAACAGGATAAAACGGTGATTTTTAAAAACAGCTTCGGTGAGACAGATGTCTAACGGTTTAGGTTATCTCCTGTTTCCTGGTTATCTGGTACAGTAGTTGCGCTGTTTTTTCTATCTAATCGGTTCCGCAGTCCTTCACTACGGAGGCCCAAGCTTCGCAAGACAGCTGCTTTGGTTTGGGCCATTGTTTGGGCGTTTTAATTCTGTTGGCCCTCCATTTCCTATACCCTAGAAGTCCAGTTCGACTATATTTTGACCGGCTGAAGTAAAGGAAGTTCCCGGACTCAGGTCCCCTAGTCAGACCATTCTTTTTAGAGTCTTTGAACCCCCCCCGGGGCCCTGGAAGTCAAAGACCATTTTAAACATGGTTGATCTGGTTTTGTAGTGTAAAACCCTTAGTGAAACAATGGTTGTTCCGTAAAGGCTATTAAAACAATGGTGGTTCGACTTCTAGGGAGGGTATATGTTCCTTTACTAACCTCGGATGTCGAGCCATTCAGCATCCCACAGGCAGACCCAGGCCGTTGACCTCCTCGACGAGTGGAGGTCGAAAACTCACGATCCGGTCGAAGGTCTAAAACGAAGGTCTGTGAAGAGATGGTTGCTTCGGGAAGCCTTTCCCAGAGAGTCCCAGGGGTATCCTTTGCACAGCTTTGGGAAGCCTTTCTTTTTTGGAGATAAATATCCCTTTCCGGTCGCCTTCGGAAGCAGCGAAGAAAGAAGAACGAGGAAAGCACGAGTCGCGACCTGGTCCGGAAGAACGACGACTGGAGGGGGGCCTGATTCCATTCTCGAACGACGTCGGTCCCAGCAGCGACCGACGTCGGGAGAAAGACCCCGCAGCACCGCCACAGGAGTTGGGCCTGAACCGTGCCGCACAGGACCGCTATGCGCTGGAGAGTTATGCGAAAGCGGCCAAGGCTTGGCAACAGGGCGCCTTTGATTTGGAAGTGGCGCCTCGGCACGAAGAGGGTCTTCACTCTTACATGGATACACCAGCACTATACCAGCACCCTCCGACAGGTCACCACCTGACACTTTGAAGTATCCAAAAGCCACCAGCTGGTACATGCTTTTTCTTTTTCCAAGAAGTCTCAGTGGCTGATGTGTTGGGGTCGTGGTTTGGGGAGTGGTGTTTGATGTATTTTGGGCTTGCGGCCAGCTCAGGCACCCGTGAGGGTGAAGAACCCCGCGGCCGAGTAGCTTGGGCGCTGTGTTGGGTTGGGCAGGTCCGACCCTTTGGCTCCGCGAGAGAGTACAGTGGTCTCAGAGGTTCGATGGCACTGGCACCGCAGATGTCTTTGAAGTCCATATGCATCCATATACACCACCAAACTTGGGGCCCCTTGAGCCATCGATTCTTGAAACTACTGATTCATCAACTCCCCCGCCCTAGATGGCTTTATTCATCCGACATCAAGTTTCTTTTGACGAGCTTCCGCACCCGCGGGGACTTCCGAACCCGTGGGTGGTTGTTGCTACCGTACACTCGGACGAACACGGCCCGGTGGTGGAAGTGGAAGTGGACGGCCTGGAGTTCGGAAGACCATCCTCTATCCCAGACACTCCAATATAGGCCTAGACATTGGGGTGGTTTGATGGGTCTTTCTGGGGCGGCAGCCCCATGGCAGTCCCAGACAGGTCGTGTTTGGGTATAGAAACAGGTGGTGAGCTCCATTTGCAGGTGAGTTCCAGGTTAGTTGAGTCACCTCACACCACCTGCTCCCCGGCGCGCGTGGTACCGCGGAGTGACCCGACCGACCTTGCAGTCTCCGGGCCTTCCGCCGAAGCGGTTGTCTGTCGGACGCACGCGACGGGGTGGCCGCTGGGGGTGTCGCGAAGAGGGACAGCAGACGCTTCTCACGCTGATTCACATCCTCATATCAGGATAAAAGATGTGCTCGGCCCTGGGTACAGTACTATTTTGGAACCAGTTGCTCAGTCGCAGCAATACTCAGCAAAATCGTCCCAGAGGCGGCCCTGGACCCAAACCAACTGCTACATGTTGGAGGTCCAAACCTGGCTGTGAGGACCAAAACCCTAGCGAACTGAGGGTCCTGCCACTGAGCCTTTGGGGTAGGTTCATGAGCCTTTGGGTCTAGTGCTGACCTGGTGGGTTCCTAGGCTGCCCAGCTCGGTGGCCTGCTTGGCCTGCTGGGTGGATCCAAGGACTTGACGCTCAGACCACCGCACCGGTGGACCTAGACCGCACCGGTGGACCTGGACCGCACCGGTGGACCTACCTTTCACCCCGGACCGGCAGATTCGACGGAGTTTGGTCCCCTCTTGGTTTTGATGTGCTCCACTTTTCGAAAGCAGGGAGTACATCGACCCCTCGGTGGCTGCATGATGCGTCGCACCTTGCGACGCAGCTGGCTGTCACGAGTCGGAGATCACATATCTTCATGAGACCACCACGATCTTTCAGGCGCGACGCCATGGAGAAGCGCTCCATCATCATGAGCGACGCTCGGATTTGGGATGGCTTGGGACCGGCATTTGGGTCTCCATCTCCGGCGCTCGCGGGCACGCTGCGCCTTCATTCGTCCAACGGTGCCGTCGGCATCGCTATACTATAACCAGTGCATTGGCTACGTTCGTAGCTACGAATTCTAGTCGTAATGCTGTGAAAACTCGTAGCGGGGATGCACTTGCTACTCGAATGCATACTAGATCATACTAGACTCATTCCGGCGACTCAACCGCGTCCCGCGTTGCCCGCCCCGGCCCCGGCCCCAGTCCACGGACCGCGCCTCCTCCGTCACGACGTCCGCCGGTCTGCGACTCCGGATCGCCGACCAGTCGCGAGCCCTCGGACGAGACCGCCCCCAGGTGGATGAGGAATATTCTCGAATGAAACTGGATCGGATGGCCCAAGCACCGCCCATCTTCCAGGACCTCCGGACTGGACGATGGTTGACTGGTTCGCCTTTCGTTCGTTCCGGGTCTTGGGTCTTGAGGTCATTCCGCACCGGTTCGCCGAAATCGTTCCGCCGCGTCTTGGGGTCGGATTGTTGGGGTCGGGTGTGTGGGCTCCAGCGTTTGTACCACAGTTCGGCGCTGAGGGTCTGACTGGCGGGTGAGTGAAAGTGGAGAAGGGAGGATCCAGGTGTTCGACGGACTGGAGGGTAGGTGGAAAAGATGCGAGCCTGGTGCTACAATCGTGGTAGATGCTTCATGATGGTACATATACTCAGCTGAAATGACAAAGGACTTAGTGAAAAGTGCCTCCAAATTTCTGCGGCTAAGTCATGAAGGTTTAGCCTACCCCCCACAAGTATCTTCGTTTTTGTTTGAACTCATTTGATTTTTTTCCTTTTCGGGGGAGTATTACCTCATCTCTTAAGACTTGTCAAGGCTCCACAGATCACCCAAACATTGCAATATCTTGTATGTTTTCACCATGCCGGGTCACTGTGACCACAGAAATCTTCCAGGCAGGGAGTCTAGACCGAAGATCGGTGGAACTTCATCATTTCTCACCAATCTCAATAGCTTGTCTATCCCTATCGTCGATTGGCGTCAGGGATTGCCACCGCTGCGTTTGGATCTTCAGGATTTGCAATAGATAAATTGCCCTACACTACTAACAGCCTTTTAACAACAAGAATCTGAAAGATCTCCATCTGATTTTAAGATCCTTTTTAAGATGTTCCCTTTCAACAGTGGTTGCATGTGGGTAACATATGGTCTATTTCTTAGACCGGACTGGCATATTTACTGATCAGGCCAGGGGTGCTTGTGAGGGGTGGCAGTCGGACCAGTCCCATGGAGGAGGTTTCAGGGACCTCATCGATGGCGCCATCGATCTCCAGGAAGATGGCACCATCACCGCAGCCAACGCCTCGTCTCTGAACGACGGCGCCGCCGCGCTGGTCTTGATCAGTGAGCCGCGCGCCAGGGACCTGGGCATTACCGGTCTGGCACGACGCTTGGCGTGCAACGCGTGGGTGGAGGCGGGCGGAGCAGAACACGGCCATTTGTTCCGCGACAGGTCAATGAGTTTTTGGGAGGTCATACGAAAACACTACTCAAGGAGGTCAACGAAAAGGTCTTACTGGGGGTGAGGACGGTCAGGACTTGTAGGGTTCAGTATCATTCAATATCATCCCTTGCTTTGACGTGAAGTTGAAGTTTGTAGCTTTTGCTCGTGTGGATCGTTGGAGGTATCTTGATCGTTGGATGACATCCATAACCAGTGGGAATTTTATAATGGTTTATTCAGGTTTCTTGAGCACAGGCAGATGCACGAAGATGAGGCCGTCTTGCCGTCAATGTGAGCTTGTGCCATTTTCCCTTTAACAACTTTGGATTTCCTCCAGGACCTTCAATACCAAAAAATATCTCGCACACCCTCACACCCCCACCATCCACTAACTCTCCCTGGAACTGGAAGTGGATGGCACCCCTCTCTTGCTCTGAACCATGGTCCTCCGTGCCATGCCCGCAAATCCCACCCCAACGAAGGTTCCAAGAAGTGAAGGTCCGTCTCCTCACCGCGCTTCCGGGACCCTCCAGGTGGGCCTCCTCTACCCGCCCCCCCCACCCCCACCGCCGGCGCCCGCTGACCGGAGGCATTTGCGCCTTCGCGGACGCCGCGGTGGAGCCGCGGCACGTGGCCAAGGCACCGGCGGCGGCGATTGGATGCTCGGTGCGTGGTCGGTGGGTGGATGGCGGGAGGCCGAAAACGGGGCGAGGCCTGCCGGGGTCAGGAGATGTTAGCTATATCATGCATGTTTTTGGAGCTATAGCGGGACATTTGGGGGGGACCGCAGTTCCATGAAATCACTTATTGAGCCATGCCCACCCGCCGCTTGCGTATGTGGCCAGTGTTGAGATTGGAAGCCGTGTAATTACCGATGCGTTACATTTTTTCGTTTAATACACAAACTGAATGAATCCAATTGTATTGCTCCGGCTGGTGCAACCTTGAAATTGCAAACGTCAGCCTCAGTGTGTTGGATGCTATTGTAAACTGGCAGCTCCTGTACATGAGGAGCTTGTGTTGAGGAGTGGACCGGGCAGATGAGGCGTCCAACGTGGGCGTGCACAGTGGGATTTTGTTCATGACATCACTGACCTTTGGGGACGGGTATGACTTCCAAAGACCCACTTCGGTCTCCGCGCTAAGGCCGTGAGTTCACTCTCCACTAAGGCCGTGCACTCTCCGCGGCGCGGATGAACACCGTGAACTTCTATGAGATCCACGAAACCTTCAGCGCGGCCGGGTCGACCTGCAGTTCCGGGACAGAGCTGAGCTTGAGACCAGTCTTGACTGCCTTGACCGGGATCCGGAATCGACCGTTATGAGGTTTTTTTCATTGGGTGATAGCTTACATCCTGTCATTCACTGGTCTTTCTTGGGTTATTCACTCATAAACAAATGACGGATTTTTTGAATTGATGGATAGTTTTTACATTTTGGTTGTATATATTATCTGGATAAGGTCTCATTTATGATTTACCCTTGCTTTCATTGTCACATTTGTATGGTTACTTTTTTCATCTTTTTTCATTAGGTCTATTTTCATGACATTAAGATGATTTAAAATGACTCCAGAGATTTCATTCAGCAATTCATTATGATGAGGAGTCTCTCATTATTCATTCCTTTACTATATTCTATTTCGTAGGAGCTTTTTTATTTGAATTTGGGATCACTCGTTTTTATTTTCAGTGTTCATTCATGTTTTGTGTTGTTTTTTTTTGTTTGGATTTATTAATGGTTTCTTTTTTCCACAGCATTGTCTGGATTCACCCGTTCATTAACTTTTCTATCTACTTTGGGATTCACTATTATTATTTTTTTTACGTCCAAGCTATTATGACATAGATGACCATCAGAAATAGTTTTAATCCTAAATTTAATAGAACAATAAAAAATAAAGGACCGACGACCGACGAATCTGTAACTACACCTCTATTTTTGACCTTAACCTACAGCATTAATATACAAGGTCAACTCCTGATTAATAAACCGTCCCCCCCACATGGTAGGTCAACAAGGTCAAACAGATATGAGATACCAGTCATGATGTCCACCTCCCCTGAATAATGTGTTATGAGACCATAGGACCATGAGGGATGATACCAGGCTTTGAGGGGATGAGCTGATGAGCATGAGGCCAGAGTCCATATAGGAAGCAGGGAGTTCATCATAGTAGCAGTAGTAGTAGTAGTAGCCGCCGTAGTAGTAGCAGTAGTAGTAGTAGTAGTAGTAGTAGTAGGTAGTAGGTAGTAGGTAGTAGGTAGTAGGTAGTAGTGGCAGTAGTAGTCGCAATTAGTTTAAACAAGCACAGGCAAAAGGCCAGGGACACAGGATCAAATTAATAGGGGGTAGTAGTGCAGATTATTGATGGGGGACCGGCCCTTGTGAGGGGTACCCTTTGTGAGCTTGTCAACTGATTGTTTTTTTATTGCTTTTTAGTATGGCAACTTATAGGCCCTGAGGCCTAGACATTTTTTTTATTTCATCAAAAAGTAGTAGGTGGTAGGTGGTGGCCGTCGTCGTCGTAGTAGTAGTAGCAGCAGCAGCAGAAGCAGAAGCAGTAGCTAGCAGCAGCAGGAGGAGGAGCAGCAGTGGTAGTAGTGGTAGTGGTGGTGGTGGTAGTGGTGGTGGTAGTAGTAGTTGTAGTATTTCGAAAACTTGACCTGGCTGTGGGCTCGGATTAACTGGGGGGGGGTTCTGGTACTCAACTAGACCATTAGGGCGGGGAATAAGCCACCAATACTACATTTTAATTTGTGCAATGTCCGGTGGTTTTGTGGGCTCGGATTAGTTATGGGAGGTTTATTGCTCGTGACTTTACATTATAAATGATGAAATCTCTGGCATTGTTTCCTATCCCTTCAATTCACTTGTGATCTTAAAAAGGAATAATTCAAGAACATAAAGTAAACAATATATACTATAACTATAACTCCTCAGACGGTGATGTGTTCGACACTGTTATGCGAGTTTGGAGGCTCCAGTCGTACCGAACCTTCCCTATCTCTACAGGTTTATGTCTACATCTGCAGGGCTGCCCCTGTCAGTGTTCGCTCCCAAGGTTCCCAGAACTGAAGAGGTGTTTTCTTCCCATCAACCCCCTACACTCCGACGAACACATCACATGGAAGTGGAAAACCCTGTTTCTAGAGGAAAGTCGTCTTCCAAGCGGCCATGCCATCCACTTCCATGTGATGTGTTCGTCAGAGGGTAGGGGGTTGATGAATCAACAGTCTACAGATGTCTACATGACCTAAGTTATGTTCTAGTCGATGATGTTTTCAATGGTGAAATGCAGCGTTCACTGAGCCACTGGGCGTAGGACCGATCACACATGGAATGACCATCAAAGGTGGTTTTGCAGATGGTTGGAAGGTCACCCATATGCCAGTACTTGGATGTAGCGATGTAGCCAACGAGTGGTAGTGGTAGCTACAAACATCTACAAACCATATACACCTTTAGACAGGTCAGGATTTCTTGACAGATCTTGACTGAACCCGAAATCCAAAATAGGTTTTGATATCCGTTTTGGTGGTCAACACCCCGACCTTGGCAGCAAATCATGGTGGTCTTTCGGAGGTGGCTTTGGCCAACATGCAGCTCTTGGACTTGGATCCCTCGCCTGCCGGCTGAATGGCCGGGGTTGGAATGTCGCCGACTCGGGGAATGTCATGTCGGTGGTCGACCCGGATTTTCCTTACTGCAAAGAGTTGGATGAATGGGATACGTCTCGCTCTGCGAGAGTTGGCTCCCCTTGCCAAAAAGACCTGGACCTTCCGAGATCCACAAGAAGTGCAGGGTCTTCCAGCCAAGTGATCCCTTCTTTTTAAGGTGCTGGCATGTTCTAGGGCAACAGCAGGGTAAAATGATGCAGAAAAGGCACATCCATTAACCACAGGTCATCTTCCGGAGGAGGCAAAAGACGTCCGGTTTCCGTCTTTTTGGACGGACCGTCCGGGCCGTCCGGGGGCGGAAGAGGCTGAGGCTAGAGGCTGCCTCTTCGTCGCAGAGGCTGCGTGAGCCGAACAGACCAGAGCCGATGACATGTTTAAGATCCACTGGTCCAGGAGGGTCATCAGATCGAGCTCCTAAGAGCCCTTAACCCTAAAAACCCATACTTGTTGCGATCTTCAGAGGTTGGACCTTCCGAAATCGGGGTGCCCTGGAGATCCATGAGTAGTGGGCTGGGGCTTTCATTGGTGACTGCCTGGAAGGTGCTGGTACTCTTTTGGGGAGGGCCTCCTCAACAGACATGGAAAAGACATATAGCCATATAGCTTCAGTAAAGAACAAAGTAGGAACCCACAGAGAAGGCCATGCCCAAGGGCACTGGGCCTTTCCAGTCGTTCTTTTCCCGAGCAACCTCCAACAGGTTACTTCGGAGACTCTTTTTCGTCGCCCAACAGTGGCACATAATGACTTGTTGGACAGGGTGGCATTCCCATAGCTTTCTCCCCCCCTCTCCCACAAATGAAAACCCTATAAGACCCTCGTTCTTTCTTTCTCTCTCTCTCTCTCTCCTTTGCTTTCTCGGCCGGGAATCCCATGTAAAATTCCATGCCCAGATGTGAGTGCAATTGGAAGCTCTTTATACGACAAGATGTTCATGTGTTCATGTGAGAACTGAGTGAACATATGAACACGCAATGTAGACATTTGATTAACAAATACCCGTTGGTCTCCATATATATATAGCATATATATATATGTATCTCTCTCTCTCTCTGTGTGTGTGAAGAGGATTTCCAATTAAAACGGAGGGGGTACTACAGTAATCAAGAGTCTACATTATAAGGATTGATGATGGATTGATGGGCAATGGATTGATGTTGCAATGATTCGTTACCACCGTGCTGTGCACTCCGTGGGCATCGAGATACATCTCATTCGAGTTCTGTCCACCAACCCAGGCGGGTGAACGTCAACGGCGGCGCTGTGGCGCTGGGGCACCCCATTGGCGCCTCGGGTGCGCGCATCGTGGCCACCCTGCTGAGTGTCCTCACCCAGCAGGCCGGCATGAGGGGGAAAGAGAAGTGATTGTTTTCATGTTGTCACCTACCAGCACCTACCAGCAGGAGTGTCATTGGACCACCCTACACTCCATTGGGCACCCCTTTTTTTGGTCCAGGTCATTATATGTTTGGTCCAGGTCATTATATGTTGCATTATATGTTTACACGCGTCCTGGCACGTGTTGATCTGATCGGCATTCTCTTATATAAGAACCAGGGTGGTTCTTGAAATCGGTGTGCTTCAAAAGGGTGTCCAGTACACAACAGCAACGAAAACACTGCCCGACGCCAAGCACATGTCTCATTCCAAGCTTCCCACTGCACTGGTTTCCACGGCGGAGCCCGGTAGCCCGGTTCCCCCCGGTTCCGGAGGACGCGACCACCGGTTGCGCGGCCATTGGCAACGTGGGCGGGGGAGCGACTGCCCTGGTGCTTGATCGTCGGTGAAAAGGGGCGAGTCGATGGATCGGTGCGGTGGGAGGCTTTGCGCAGCGCACGTGGAAACCCCAAACGGCGCAGAAAATGGTTCTTCCATGGTTCCTCCATCTTTTTTCAAAGGGTTATTCAAACGTGCGTCAGGAGCGGGTTCTACCATGTTCAGGAGTGTTCATCCCAAGTAAGTGGCTGGAACTTGGGAAAGATCCATTCATTTCTTCCTCCCTAAGAATCCGGACGGTCCGAACCCCTGCTATGGAGGGTCCGACCCCCATGGAGAGCCCAAGGATTCTTAGGCTGGGGAACTCCAGGAGCGGTGCCAAGCCTGGCCTGTCCGGGACTCGGTTGACTCGGTTTTGCTGGCGGACATGGAAGCGGAAAACCACGGGGGTTTGGGGAGGAAGTCGAGTTCATCGTGTCATAGGATGACCTTTCACATCCTTTTACTATTAGTGGCTTGATTAATTAAAGGTAGACACCCCCAAATGAACAATAGGTATATGGTACGCAATCGACCCCTCTGTTCCTTCCAGGATCCGAAAGGACATCACTGGTTGACAGTCAGCCTTGGCTGGTTGTTTTCAGGTTCCATGCTTTTCGGGTGTAATTAAGCTTTGCAATTTTGGGGGGAGGTGGGTCAGATGTGGCACATGAGAAGGTTGAAAAGAAGTCACTCTTGGTGTAATGGTTTTGTAGGAGAAACTGAGCGCGTGAGGAGATGTGATTCCTAAGACTTCCCTAATGTGGAGACTCCGATGGTCAAATCTAGACACTGCCATGGAACAGGAATTGACCCGGTTGGAATTTCTGAAAGGCGGCGTTTTGGAGTTTTGGGCGTGCGACGAGCACGACAAAAAGCCGTCAGCCTTGGATTCGGGTTGGGGACTTCCGGTGGAGCGAGCAAGATTGGGAGGTTTTGGGCCCAGCAGATGTCTCAACCCCGCCCTTTGGGAATGACGGTGAAGAGCTTTTTGATCCGATCTCTTGATACCAGGGTCATCCTGTCTGGGTGTCCTGGCGTTCGACTACCCTACCTTACAGGCCGGTTTTTTGGGCAAACAGGAAGTGCTAGGTGGGTTTCTGAGTTCATCTCTTTTCCCATGAAGCGTGCGCGTCCAAGAGCTGTCCATTCAGTGTTAGGTCCGTGTCCCATTCAGTGGAGGATCAATCCCCTGTACTCGCCCCACACATCCCGGTCCGGAGCTCCCCACATGCCCCACACATCCCATCCGTACTCGCCCCAGATCAGTCCGGTCCGTGAAGCGCAGCGGGCTTCGGGCTTCATCACCCGCGTCGCCCGTGGGTCGGACGGGCTCCAGGGCGAGAAAGTCAGGTGGTCGTCCAGCACTGTGGTCACCAGCAGGACGGTCCGTGGTGAGGTGCATGCACGGAGACTTCTATTGCAGTAGATGTCTCGGGTGTTCATGATGATGTTGGATGGTGGTCAATTACCTGGCTCCGTTTTCACGAAAGCTAGCATGCTAGCTGAGTTCTTCTTTGCTTTAGCAATGTTGTGGTGGGAGGGGCTGCGTGCCTTAAAGATTGATATATCAAGCTAACCCCCCCCCCCCCCCGCGGTTCAACTCCCAGCTGCGCCGTGTAGGGGGTTGGTTGAACGTGTGAACGTGGTTGGTTGGGTGTAACGGTGGCTTGGTGTAAAGGGTGCTGCTGCTGCTGCCGCTCTGCTGCTTGCTGCTGCTGTTTGCTGCTGCCGCTGGTTGCCGCTTTTGTAGCTGCTGCTTTGCTACTTGTTGCGGCTTGGTGCTGCTGCTGCTGTTGCTGACGACGCCGCTGCTACTGCTGCTTGCTGCTTGCTGCTGCTGCTTGCTGCTTGCTGCCGGTGGTGCTGCTGCTGCTGCGGCTGGATGCTGCGCTGCTGCTGCGTGGTGCTGCTGGCTGGCTGCTGGTTGGTGGTTGCTGCTGGCTGCTGGCTGCAGGCGGCTGCTGCTGCTGCTGCTGGCTGCTGCTTGCTGCATAGGACTTGTACTTCACCGTTACAAGTTGTTTACCCCTATTTCTAACCTAATGCATGCATAAGCGGGTGGTAAATTTACCCCCCAGGCTTGCTATAACCATACACCGGCTATTTCCTCAAGACACTCTATTCTTGATACCTTTTACCAGCGCTTATCCTACACTACGGACGCCCTAGTGTATGCACAGTCCTTGTGATGCTTACCCCTCGTTCCGGCTCAAGGCATACATAAGCGGGGTGTAAATTTACCCCCCAGATTTGCCATAACCATAAGCCGGCTATTTCCTCAAGACACTCTACTCCATATACCTTTTACCCGTGCTTCTCCTACACTACGGACGCCCTAGTGTATGTACAGTCCGTATGATGTCAGAAATGCTTACCCCTCTTTCATACAAAAGCGGAGGGTAAATTTACTGCCCAGATTTACCGATCACGCATCTTCGTGCCTGCCAACGAGTGCACCCGGGTTGTTCCAATGTACCCTTCCCAGTCAGCGATGTCACATTTACATTCTTTAGCGCAAAGTATGTACATAGCAACCTTCCTCCCAAAACATGTCATCCCTACATGCTTTGCCGACTATGTAACTAGTACATCCGGTGCGATTCGGCTAGCTTTCGACCTCTCCCCCTGGCCTCAAGTTTTTTGAAGGGAAACAACCACAGGCAAATCATGGAACATTCAGCTTTGACTGGGGCTCAGCAAGCGACAAGGGATGTCAACGAGGGGTCAACAAGGGTGTCCCGGTTTAGTTTTGATTCAACGTATTCTGCACCCAGGCACAGCCAACAGCTTTCCACCCAGCCGTTGATGTTACCCCGCATGAGGAGAGGTGTGTTGTTTCCATCTCACCAGGCACACCGGGTGACACGAACCTCCATAGATCGTCATCTCCACTGCATGGGCCGCCGGATTGGCGCGCCGGAGCCCGCGGATTGGCCATGTTCACTTCCCGCGCTTTGGCTACGAGGCGCCCTGGACTCGGCCCCTTGGGGACTTGGGAGCGGGCGCGAGCTGCACAAGGACCCTGGAAGAGGACCCTGGGAAAAACCTGCCGAGCTCGAGGTATTTTTAACGTGAACTTCGGAGTCCCTGACAGATCAACGGCGGTTTTCCAGTTCAGGCTTTGTGGGAAGACGCATGGCTTTTGGTTTTGGGCTGCAGATGGCTGCAGTCCACATTCGAGGGAGAGCACTTAAGTGGCAGATTGCCACCGCCAAGTATCACTTGTACCACCCATGACCATCCAGAACCCACCACAACAAAGATCAACAAAGTATATTTTTACTACCTTCCAAGGGTTTCACCCATGGACTATTGTACATGATGCTCTTAAGACCCGGAATCTCTATGTAGGACATGCACGATGGAAGAACATGTTCCTCAACTTAACCAGACAAAAGAATATAAGTATTTTGATACCAGACCTTTCTTTCGGGGTCACCAATGAAAGCCCCTACATGCCCCAGCCCACTACTTATGGAATCTTATCGATCTCCAGCCAGGGCACCTTCTGGAAGGTCCAAGTAGGTGAGCGCGTGGGGTTTCGCTTCGAAACCTGCGACACCTCACCGCACGCCCTTCAACCACCCAATATAGGTCTAGCGCTCGTCCTCGTGTCCTCCACGCACCGGTGGGGGTCCGTCGACCGGAGGCAGCTGTTGATGGCCTCGGCGGGTACTGACGTTGGCAAGTTGGGGGGCGCCATCTGCGCCAGGCGCGGGCGCATGCGAGCAGCGTGTCCAGCTCGGGCGGTGGGAAGAGCGGATCTTTCACTGGCGGAGACGGGGTGTTCGTTGGTTTTGCCCCGGTCTTGGGGCCTCAGAAAGAATGGATTGGGCTTCACTTCAATGGCTTTCGTGAGTTGGTTTGTCCCTTTTTTGGGGAGGGGGCTTTGAGCTTTCAAACTCGATATCCCCTTCTTAGATCTTCTTAGAAGTTGCATATCAATATCAAGATGCATTTTTTTCTCCAAGATCTCCTCGCCCAGCCCAGCTCGGGTCTCTGGTTTCTCCTCACAGCTGCGCCAGGCTTCGCCAGGAGGGCCAGGCAGAGGTCCAGGCGATGGGGCCCGCGGCGCTCCAACGGGCGCTCAGAGGGTTGCTACGCTGCCGCTACTGGCTGCAGCAGGCGGATGGTGGTGGATGGATTGCGGAGCAGCCGTGTGGTGGAGGGTTTGGAGAGACCCCGGGAGGGGGACACGCCGCGGAAAGAGAGATGGCATGCACGAGGTGTCAGTCATACAATGTCATATGAATTGAAGGGTGGTGACCAGGTCACATGCTGTCACATATGCGCCACCCGTTCCTGAACTCGGCGCGGCGCCGCTAGGTGTCAGGATGTTCGAAATCAGCAGTAATTAGCTCCAGGTCCTCACCTTTCAAAGGGGATTCCCTTGACGATCCCTATGAATCTGGTTGATCCCCACGGATTCATCCTGCCAAGTCGCACGGTCGACCCACACCGCCCCCGGACCTTCCGACCGGACCCACGGAACCGCAGGAACGTCCGGGCCACGAGACGTACCTCTCAGTGGACCGGAAGGGCGGGGTGGCGTCTCGTGGGAATGGAGATCAGTGGGGTTTTTGGGGTTCCCCCCGTCGGCCGATTCCAGGCATGTGGAGTCATAGTCCATTCATGGAAGATCATGGAAGATATGCCTCCATAATCTGCACAAATATAATATGCCTGCATATATGCCTACATACTGGACCTTCAAGGGGTGTGCTGGGGCTTCCAGCCAGGTGACCCCTTTGAAGGTGCTGGCACGTTGACGCTCAAAGCATCATATGATATGAGTATGAGGTGGCAGGGTATTTGAACGCTCTCATTGACCAACCGGGAGGGCTCACCATCGCAGACACTCCGTGGGACAGGAATCGATTTATATATATATTTGGAAACTCCGGCCGTTTGGCCAAACACCTGGACTTCCTAGTCCCACCCAAGCGGCCGCCCTTTTGTGACTCTCCTCGAGCCGAAGGGTTGCCTGTCTGCTACGAATGCTTGCCGTGCTCGAATGCTCTGCCATGCTCGTGACACTGCTTAAACACTCCTATAATACTCTTACGAACGAAGCAAAAAGGCACAAAATCATCCGGATCTTGTACTGCAATGTCTGGATGGCCTCAACTGAACTGCCTACTTTCGCTGTCGCTGCTCCGAACTGCCAGGAAAGCTTTGGTCTTCTTTGGCATTGATGTGCTGGGCGAATCCTACCGCTTTGAGGTAGTTGGCTAGGTCCTCCAGCCTACCTCCGCGATTCTGGCCATGTTGAAAGACCCACAACAAATACCCTTCCAAACCTGGCTTGTCCAGCATCTCGGAATACGAGTAGCCCTGTTTGGCGACTCGTGGCAACTTGCATACCGTTCGGCCCCAGTCTGTCAAATCCACGACTCCCGGGGGAAGTGGAACTCCTCCAGGCATGCTGTTTGCTGCTGGTGTCAAAGGCAGCTGATCCGACTTCTTGGTGGCATTCAAACGTTCTTCTGACAAGGACGAAGAGGGTTCAGCGTAAGCCACACGCTCCCACTCTTCTTCGGTCTGATGGCTTTCTCTCAAACGCTTGCTGCCGTCAGTCATCGCACCATAGCCTGACGAACGACCGCCCTTCGGGGCAATGCCATGTTCACTTGCCCGAGCTAAAATAGCTCTGGCGGCTGACACTTCTTCTGGCGTCACTGGTGACTGTTCACGGGACATGTCTCTGGTCCTCACAGAAAATCACTCTGTCGTGACAAGCGTCGAGCCTGAAAATTGCTGCTTTCATCTTACAAATCACAAAACTGCCGGAAACAAAATGTTTGTGATCTAAACAAACCAGCCTGACTTGGGTTTGGTGGAGGCACAAGGCAAAAGCAACCGACAAAATGAAAACTGATGCATTCAAGCTTAAAGACATTTCCTTCGGAAGAATCGACTGCTGAAATGCACAAAGACAAAAAACTGCAACGGGAACTGAATTTGCTCATGTTCTAATGTAAGAGACTCAGTCCTCAGTAACCCTCCTACTGGAAAGACTGGAAGGCTCTTCCAACTCACAAGCTCTTCTAATGCAAAACTTACAAGAAAACAACAGAGTTTCATGAACGAGAAAATATCATTTCGAGTTCTGCTCAGCTCTCTTCTGCGCAATCTCCCGTCTTCTGTCTTTCTCAGCTCTTCTGCGATCAAGCATGATCTGTTCATCCGCCAATTGATAGCGGGCACTGCGGAGAACTGCGCGTAACAGGTCAACTGGCTCTGCACGGTCTTTGGTGAATGCGTCTGCTACCATATAATTTGTGGGACACCACCTAGGTTCCAAGGTGCACCTTTTTAGAGACTGCCTGATGATGGCAATGTCTATTGCTGTCCTTTTATCATCCACGGTGCCCCCACTGCCTAAGGATGTTAAATGGTCGTACAATGACCGGCAGTCTGTCATGCCTATTGGAGACCTTCTTTGGAGGATTTCCTCAGCTTCTTCTAATATGACGGGACCATCTAGACACTCGGCCATCATCAACAACATCCACTCGCAAACCCCTGTTGCAGTCGAATAGGCCTGTGCTTCACCGCCCATCGTTGACGCTACCACGCGAGGCAAACGGTAAGACTTCCAAGCAAAGCAATGGACCGGCACATCTTCACCTTGCCTCATCTTGTTTGAGGTGAAAGCAAGTAGCCATCCTGCTTGTGTCTTGTGTTCCGTCGTGTTGGCAAAAGCAGCATCTGACCAAAAGCAAAGAGTCAGCTCTTTCAAAGGAATGAAAGGAACCTGAATGCACAAGTCAGATTGTTGTCGTGCCCGCCTCACTGCTTGGTTTGCTTGAATCAGGTCTGACACCTTTGGCTGTGGGAAGCATTGCTGGCTCAGTGACGTCTGTACAGCCAGGTCTGGACGAGACTGGGTGCTTACCCAGCTCAGTGCTCCGTTCACAGCTCGAAGTGCCGACACCTCCTGAGGGGTTGCTGGAAGCCATGGTTTCCTGCTTCTTTCTTTCGTGATCTTAATAGGTGTGATGTGTTCTGCATACTCCTTTTGTTGGAAACTTATCTCCAAGGTCGTTTGGTCTTGAGTATATATGGTGCCTAAGAACTCACCTGTACCCGATCGCCATTTTCTGAAAGGAAACCTGCTTCTCAACTTTGCAACTGCTGCTTCATATCTAGGTCCGCATCCCCCAGTGATGGTGTCATCAACATGTGCTCCTAGAATTCCTTGTAGCTCGTGGTCTTCTCCGTAACACAGATACAAACAGCTATCGAACTTGCTCCGAACAAAACCTGCCTCTAGTGCAACTCGGTCAAACTCACAGTACCACTCATGCGGGGCATCGTTCGCCCCGTATATGTTTCCCAAGATTTGAACTAAGGATCCTACGTCAACTCCCGGCACGCCCCCCGGTGGCAACTCAGCGTATACCGGATTGGCAATGGCCTTCTGTCTGACATCGGCCTCTAGGAATGCTCCCTTTATATCTCCTAGATGCATCTTCCACCGATTGCTCACCAACATCTGGAGGATCAGGCTGCGGCCGAATTGAGACAACGTCGGTGAGTGACACTTGCCAGCCAAAACCTTGGTAAACAAATCAGGATCATGGTGTCCTCTCAGACACCAGCGGGCTTTGATCTTTGAATCACCATCTTCATGCTTTTCAACGATCACAAACCGACTTGTCATGATCCGATCCGGTCTGGTTGAACGGATTCGAGCTGCATCTCTTGGCATGATGACCTTCAAAGCCTGTTTCTCGTCTCGCAACGTGGTCCACTCTGTGGTCTTGGCAATGTCGACCTTTTCTTGAAGTTCCGATGGGTTGTGTGAATGATGAAGTTCTTTCTGCATCTTTTTCTGCAAGAAACTAGCAATTAACACTTCGACACTTGCGGCTGGACCATGTTCTGCAACGAGTTCGGTAAACAAGCATGACTCGATGTCATCGGTCTTTTGGCTCTTGCTCGGCTCACTGTGTGCTCCCTCTGGTGAATGACTTCTCTTGACCCCATGGGATTCTTGAATCATGTCTTTCATATCGTCCCAGTGAACCTCAGGTGGTCTCAACAGAAAGGTGGGAGGACTCTTGAAATGTTGACGAACTCTAACCGGTCCATACCCGTCTGGTTGACTAGGGGGTTCACTCCCGGTCCTTGCATAGGGTTCCTCTCGAGCACCAGTGATGACAGTACCTGTTTCGGTTTGCGTCTGTGGGTCTTGTGCAAGGGTGTTCTCTCTGGATGGCTCATCTGGCATTGGGACATCAGTGGACCGAGTTCCTACCGCCGAAGAACTAGGCTCGCCTCTCTTTGGACGCATCCGGAACTGACTCTCTCCCTTCCATGGAAGTTCCCCCCATGTCATGTTCTGGCATGATGCATCGGACAAAGGTTGATGCACGACCACTTCATTTGTATCTGATCGAATGGTCTTGCGCCAGTTTTCTAACGATATACCCTGGAGAGCAGGGTCATTTGGTGAAGGCCAAAAGGTTGTCGTGCGGGGTTGACGATGAATGCGACACAAATGATCACCTCTGATCAGCCACACATCTTCCAAAGACTTCACCGAATGGCTCTGACTCGGAGTGGGTGTGTTCACTAGATCCGTGAACTGGGAACCAATTTCCTTCCGATCAGGGTTGTTCAGGAGTGAACTCAGTCCCAACATCTCGCGTCCGTCAGCTTGCGCTAGAACCCTTTCCTCTTCTGAGGCATGTCTCAGATGCTCTGGTGCCACTTTGAAGATGTTCTTCCTATGAAAGATCAAGAAGTTGCGTCCTACTTTTCCCATAACAATTGCAACACCGTACCATCTACCCCCTACAATGCGTATGCCCTTCTGGTATTTCTGCGTCCTCCAGTAGGCAACTAGATCTCCCGGAAGGAACTCTCTTTCAACCCTGGGTCTGGCATTTAGGGCGGTACGAAGGCTTGCATCATCTTGAGACATCACCAAAGAGACTCTGGCCTGGGCCCTGATTGCACGTGCTCGCTCTGCAGCTTCGTCGTGCAGGGGTGTGGTGGCTGCTACCGGACACGGAAATTCTTGCATCAAGTCACTCGGGATCCTAGGGTTTCTACCAAAAACAAGTTGACACGGTGACAAACCTTTCTGGTTGATCAATTCATTCTTTGCATTACCGGTCTGTGTCACACATTGCTCGTATTCTTCTCTTGTTCTTGGTTGTACCTGGTCCAAAACCTTTTGCAAAATGACTTCGAAAAGGTGTCCGTGCTTTTCCACCTTTCCCAACTGATTGTGCGCTTCTGCCGCGATGGTCACGACCCGAGTTCCGTCCTGCTCCAACTGATCGAACACACCTTCTGCAGTATTCGTTTTTGCAGGGTCAACGATTACCTCTACTGGGACACCTGCCCATCTTTGCCATGCCTCAAGGAATATTTTCTTCAAGACCTCTGCTGTTTCACGTTCGAAAAAGGGAACGACAATCTGGAAACTGGTGGCATAGTCTACTATGTTCAAGGCTTTCACCTGCTGGTTCACCTGCCAACCTGGTAGTATCTTGACGTCCCAACCGATGCGGTGATTGAAATCTTGAAATTTCTCTGGGCTAGCGGGCAAACACGGTGTCGGTCGCTGTCTCTGCTGGCAAATATCGCACGAGGATTCAACTTGGCCTGCGGCTTTCAAGGCCTCTTCCGATGCCCCGGCATTCTTCAAGATGCGTTCTAGTGTTCGGGTTGATGGGTGTCCTAGGTTGTTATGCAGTTTCCTAACTAGCTGCTCCACCTTTTGGACTTCGGAAGCGGCACACACCTCAGCCACTACCTCACGGCTCACATGTTCGGTCGTCTGAGAATGGTCCTGCAAGCATGCAAAATGACACAAACTCCACTGTGGTCGAACACACTTGAGCCATGTTGTCACGAAATTGTCTGTATATTCTGCTGCCCTACAACTGCGAGTTCTACCGTCTCTAGTGTGTCCCTCAATCAACTGGTGTCTCTCATGTCCTGGGCAAGTCAAGCTCAGCGAAGCCATGTCGTCATGAGAAACGGCTAGTCCGGTTGGCTTCTTCATAGCTTGGCCTGAATCTGAGTCGGCCAACTCATATGCACACATGTCGGCTCTGTGCAAGGACAAGCTGCCGTCACTCAACAACTGCTTCACTGGTGGATACTTCCAAAGGTCGCTCGACCACGGATGTTCCACAAGCACTCGACCACCTCGTTTCAGCTGCTTCCGAATCTGCCAGACACAAAAATCTGCTTGTGCCTTTGCTTTGCGTTGATTGAGCAGCTGTTGCACGACTGGAATGCTATGTCGGTTGAGGCGATACCAACCGCCCCAGTGTTTGCACTCCGGACAGCACACAAGGAGTTCTGGTCGTTCTTCTTCCAACTGCTGGTCCACCTGTTTCTGAATGGCCTTGTCGGTCAGATCCCAGCCTTGCTGAATGTCGTAGGCCAGACCTCGCTCTCCCTTCTTCTCCACCTGCATAGTGAATCGCGGTGGGGAAAACAACTCGGCCACAGTGCAGGTGCTCTGGCTTGTCTTCCACTTGGAATGCTGTGCCAACATACATCTCTGCTCTCTCACTGTCATCTGGCGTTCACAACCGTTCCAGTGCATTGACGTGTCTGAATCATCGGAAGTCTCCGATGTGTCGCACACTAGCACCTCCTCTGGCTCCACGTCCAACATGTTGAGGACAAATTGTCCGGCAGAGTTGATCTGGAGGGGCCTCGATGCAGCTCCTCCAAATGACACCGTCTCATGGGCAAAATCAATGACCGCCTTCAGTGAACGCAAAGTGTTGCGACTCAACAGGAGCGGTGCCGCACCCTTGATGATGGCCGCCTCGATTCGACTGGCCTTGCCATGGATGAACACGGGCATGGAAACCACTCGCTCTGACACTTCCTCCTGACCATTTCCAAAACGGAAAACATTCTGCTGTGGTTTTGTCGATGGTGTTGGAATCTTGCGGTCATGGTACATGCGCAGAAACTGATTCAAAGTCTCTTGTCCGATCAACGTCCTGCTGCAGCCAGAATCCAGGATTCCGTATCCTGGTGATGAGACCAAAAACACCTCTTCTGCCATCGCTGCACCGTGAGTCTTGTCTGTGTTGCTGGTGCTGGCACTGGACTTCTGTGGACAGTTGCGTGCCCAGTGTCCAATTTGATTGCACTTGCGACAGCGAGATCGTTTCTGCAAATCTGACAGCTCGCGACTGAATTGCTTCTTGACTGCAGAGGCTTGTCCAAAGCGCCTGGTTTTCTGCAGGCGAGCAATCTCTGTTCGTCGCTCTTTCCAGGTGGCAGCTAGTACCTCAGCAATCTCACCCTCGTCGAAGACATCATCACTGCCAGTTCCGTCCTGCAGACCATGTTCGGCCAGAAAGGCCTCGACTTCGTCGAACACCACGGCGTCTGGTCCATCGCGGTCTGATGGTGCACCTGATTCATGCTCGCCCTCATCTGGTTCGTCAGGTTGTACCAGAAAGGCGGGAACAGCCCTAGCCGTCTTCTTTGCCTTGAACTCTGGAAAACAACTCCTCATCGCAGCCACCACCGCCTCGAAATTCAAATCCCCTTGGGTCTTGGCAGTGACTATGGCTCGCTGGTCTGGTGACAAACCGGAGGCGTTCAAGCAAATCCATCCTCTGGCAGGGGATGGAAACTCTACTGACACTTTTCTGCGGCACTTCGAGAACGTTTCTTGGACACGGGAGGTCCATGCAGCCATCGTCTCGCCATCCTTTGCGGCCAGCTCGAATACTTCCTTCAAACATTCTGCTAACCAGTCGTGAGAAAGACGATCAGGAAAACGCTCTTCTAAGGCTGCCCAGATGTGTTTGTCTCCGTCTTCTTCTTTCAACTTCTCCAATGTGAGGTGTTCGCAAGCTTCCAGCGCAAGTCCGTCCAGCAAACAAAACACAAAGGGTCCCCTGTGTTGCTTGGCCATGTCTTTGGTCGACGCCATACGGGCTTCGGCCCATAACCTCCATCGTCTGAGCTCTCTCGGATCCAGACTTTCACCGCTGAACCTTCTGTTGTTACCCCCAAAGGACTCATTGGATGCCATGGCTCATGTGACACTGCTTAGTGCCCCAAACCTACCTAGGTCTGTACACTCTACCCCGGATGCCCCTCCCTGACAGCAGGGAGGGGCTCCGCTACCAATTTGGAAACTCCGGCCGTTTGGCCAAACACCTGGACTTCCTAGTCCCACCCAAGCGGCCGCCCTTTTGTGACTCTCCTCGAGCCGAAGGGTTGCCTGTCTGCTACGAATGCTTGCCGTGCTCGAATGCTCTGCCATGCTCGTGACACTGCTTAAACATATATATATATGCCTACATTGACCTTGACCACGTCCAAATGTAGGTGAACACGTCGAACTTGGAGTCCTTGGGATATTTATACATATAGAGCCTGAGTGACCTCTATTTTGCACCAGCAACCACCCAAAATATTGCCATTTCTTGCCAAAACAGGGGTCAAATGGGCCTCAAGCATATACAAAAAGACACACACGCACACACACACACACTCATATATATATATACACATGTGTGTGTGTGTGGAATCCAGCCGACAACAAGAAGATGACGCGTTTGCGAGTAAATCAACTCGGGTCACGTGAAAGCTTGTCCAGTTGATAGCCGTTTCATGTTTTGAGTTTTCAATGATTGGTTTCGCTAACATTTGTTTTGAGACCCCACTGACGGGGTTCAAATGCAGTAAGCTTTCGATGTATTTGTTGACAGCCGTGCCATGCATAGCATAGGTGGTCTTGAGGCGAGAAGGAGGTAATGCTGGTGATCCGTTTGAAGTCAACTAGCTTTATTTGCACTGAACATGGTCTAACTTTCCAGGTGAATGATGAATGATGCATGATGACTGTGCGTGTCATTTCTGTGTTTTTGTTTGGTAAGTCTTGCCACCGTTTTTAAGCTTCGCGGATGTGCCGCTTCTGTTCGCCGGTCGGCCACATGGTCTCATGGTCACAGTTCCTGAACGGGTGGATGAAGGAAACTCATGGAAATGTCCTACTACTGCCGATGTTTGGCCTGGCAGTCCGGATTTGCGAATCCAACACCCGCAGTTGAATTTAAATATGATTAAGTGACTTAAAAAGGGAGCACTATGCCTTCACAGTTAACTTAAGTCCCTTTTAAGTACAGTATATATACTGTATAGATATATAAATGTTTTTCCATGTTTCTTAAGCAAATGCAAGTGAAGCCAGTGGCTTTGAGTGTGCAGTCATGTAAGCACATCATCAAGGTGAGGACACCTGCCCGATTCGCAGTCTAACTTCGATGAAAGTCTTTTTGTTGGCCTGCACGCCGCATTTCTTTGTAGATTGGTTTGCTTAGGGTGCATCCATCACCAGTAGCAGTCGGTAAAAAATGAGCTATATCATTTGGGGAAGTAATCATTCACTGTTGCTGGTCATGGGATATATCCAAGGATTGCTGGAAAGCGGGCACAACCTCCAAAAGCCATTCGTGAATGAGAAATTCGGACCATGTGTGTGACAGGCAGTCATTGCCGACTGCTCAGTGGCAGGCCCTGAGTTAGAGGGTTTGTTAACAACACGAGATCTTGCTTAAAAAAGTTCAGGTTTTTGTCCGTTTCACCAGCAGTCTTTGATGATCGTCTTTCAGTGGCCCCCACTTGATGGCCGGTGGTATCATAGGTCGGCTTGCACTGACTCCATCTATTAGTCACTATAGTCCATGAACAGCCCAGACAACGACACCAGGTAGTAGGAAACCCACCCTGCCAGGACCAGGAGTAGGAAACCCACGTGCCCACATGCTCTCTCAAAGGAAAGGACACCCAGTAGGCCCCAGATGCCTGCCTGCCACAGGAGGCGATCCACCATGAAGCCGGCAGCAAGGCCGAGCAGGCCACACGCGGCGCGGGAGGACCGAAGTGGATGCTTGAAAGAGATCCTGTTCCATGGTCTTTTTCGCATGTCATTGATTCGTTGGGTCCGAGGGCACGGGTGAGGTTTAAGGAAAGAGTTCGCGCGGGCCAAGAGCTTGTGGTCCATGCAGCTTCGGATGCATTTGATAAAGTTGGAACACGAAGCTACGTACAGCTTGCTGTTGTACTGTAGCGTCAGAGTTCGAGTTGCGTGGTGTTGCCGAGTTGTAGAGTTTGTTTTGCCGGTGCATTCTGACCATTATAAGTAAACTTTAGATTTGTCAATCACTTGCAGGATTTGCAGGGACTATCAAGACGGCAAGAACATGTTCAAGCCCCTGACATTGGTATTTATAGGGGTGAATTCTCATGTAGTCTCACCAAAAGCCACTCCAGGCACCACGAAGAAGAAACAACACCAGACCTCTCCAACTCCCCCCCTCCAAAACGAAACCCTCGCTTTTTGGACCCCCAAAAAGGCCATGGGCGAGCTGCGCTTGGCCGTGCTGTTGCGCCCGCGGGTGGTCTCGGCAGCCTCTGAGGACGGTGGGTGGTGAGAAGAGCGCCGTCCAGAAAACGATCCCAATGTAGACAAAGAATCCCGAGCACCCAAATGCAAGAATCACTACCCCCATTAAGAACACTAGGCGGTATACGGGGGAGGACCCCGTATACAAAAAAACACTCCATTAAATCTATATATGATGATGAATTACACACACATATATATAATTTCAATATATGCCTAACATACCCAGACGTTCTCTTTGCGTCCTGAAGTCCATTTAGAAGCAGATCTCCATCTCAACCTACTTGCCATGGAAGATCTTGTGCCAGTATTCAGGCACAAACGCACAAACTGAGCCGGGCCAGTTTTTCGACATCAGGAGCTGCAGTCACTCTTCAAGGAAATGAAAGAAGCAGCTTGCCGGGTCAATGGCACATTGAAGAAGCACCCGGGAAGAGCACACGACCTGCAAGGCAGAATACTGTCCTCTCCAACCCAGTGGTTTTTAGGTTCCATTTAATCTTCCAGGGCGTAATTGAATAGGCATGACTCAAATCATGAACATAGAGCGACTTAGTGGCAAGCATTGTAGCGCAGCCATGGCGACAAGAATCTCTGCAATGCTCGTGAATGGGGAAAAGATGTACCTCAAAGTCATGCCAGAGATGACGGGTAGGCAGCTCAAGCAACAGATCAAAGAGACGCAGTTTTTGGATGAAATGACTCGGCAGACTACTGTGGTGGAGATTGTTGTTGGAGACAAACTGCTGGGCAATGACGAGAAAGTTGCCAATGCGGGGTTGACGGAATCGCACGTCACCGTTGTTTTCAAGCCAAACACCGTGAGATGCTCCACCAAAGGTGCAATCACCAGCTTTAGCAGTGAAACTGACTTGGATCTTTTGCTTGTCATTGCCATTCCAGATGATGAAACACAAATTTCTGACAGAGCGTTTGAAGACTGCCAACCGCGATTGGCCCGATTGAACATCCCAGATTCAGTGACCCGTATTGGGAATCGAGCCTTTTGTAATTGCGTCTCTTTGGCGAGCTTGACCATCCCAGACTCAGTGACCCACATTGGGTATTCTGCCTTTGAGGGTTGCAGCTCTTTGGTTAACTTAACAATTCCAGTCTCGGTGACTCACATTGGGAATGGTGCCTTTTCCCGCTGCACATCATTGGAAGAGTTGACCATCCCAAACTCCGTGACACACATTGAGAGTTGTGCCTTCCAAAGCTGCAATTCCTTGGCAAACTTGAACATCCCCAACTCAGTGACCCACATCGGGAGTGGTGCCTTTGAGGATTGCATCTCTTTGGAGAGGTTGACCATCCCAGAATCGGTGACCGTTATTGGGGATTCTGCCTTTGAGTGCTGCAGCGCTGTGGTTGACCTGACGATTCCAGGCTCGGTGACTCACATTGGGGATAGAGCCTTTGAGCGTTGCAGGTCTTTGGCCAGTTTGACCCTTCCCAACTCAGTGATCTACATTGGGTATCGGGCCTTCATGGGTTGCAGCTCTTTGGCAAACTTGACCATCCCAGACTCCCTGACTCAGATTGCGGATGCAGCCTTTGCAAACTGCAGCTCTTTGCAGAACTTGAGCATGTCAAATTCATTGATCCAAATTGCGGATGGTGCCTTCGAGAATTGCAGTTCTTTAAAGACCTTGATCATCCCAAACTCAGTGACCCACATTGGGGACAATGCCTTTGAGGGTTGCACAGCCCTGGCAAGCTTGACTATTCCAAAGTCAGTGACGCACATTGGGCACAATGCTTTTGAGGGTTGCCATTTGTTGACAAGAAACACCAACCCTCGTGGAGAGAGTGCGAGGTTTGCGCGGACGGAATCTCAAGTGAACACATTTCCAGGCTGCAGCATTGTATAGTTTCATTTGTGGCGGCTGTTTCGAAAATCTGTCGCTGGCGCCCCTCAGCCGCCAATCCAAGCTTTCCAGCAACTGCAGCGTTTCTATTCTGCAGGTGCAGCGGCGCAGCTGGAAACGGTCGCAGTTCTCAACAGAGAGCTCTTGCTTTGATCGCTTGACCTCAACGATCCAATAATGGCCGGAAAGGGGCGCGGGTTTTTTGGGGGGGCAGAGCTCTTGATTGAAAGCTCTTGGCTTTTGTAGCTCTTATATATCTGGAGGATTGGGGTCAGGTTTGGTGTTTGGAGGAAGCTCAGATGGTGTGGCATATGTCACTGGAACAGGGAAATTCTTTAACCACTTGCTAGATGGCCAGATTCTGGTTTTTGCATGTGCATTTATCCAGGGTGCCTTCAGACTCAGACATTTTGGAATCGGAGGGTAGAACTACCATGGGCATTGGGGCATGCCTCTGAGCTGACGGAAAACATAGAGCAGCAGCATATGTCATATGCCATCAACGTCAGGAAAACAGCTTCGCCTGGCAATTTGTAAGAGAAATGAATATCAAAACAGCACCCGCCATCACACGTCCTAGAAGCCATGGCTGTAAGAGTATCAGCACGGCGGGTCGAGGGTGATGTATTTCGAGTCTGCACACCAGAGATGACAGGTAGAGATCTAAAGCAGTGGATCAAAGAAGCACTGCTTGGGGGACAAGATTGCTCACAAAGTGCCGTCGTGGAAATTGTTGTTGGAGATCGACTACGGGGCTATGAAGAAAAAGCCGAGGATGTGGGGCCAGCAGATTTGGCTGTGAGTGTAGTCTTCAAACCAAACTCCGTTTGACATGCTCTAACAAGAGTACAATTGGCAGCTTAACTTTGGCAGTGAAATTGACTTGGAGCTTGACAATCCCAGACTCAGTGGCCCACTGTGGGGGTCATGACGGTCTTTAAAGGATTGCAGTGCTTTGGCAAGCTTGACCATGCGAAACTCTGTGACCCACATTGGGACTAGTGCCTTTGCAACTTACACTTCCTTATTGGTGGACTTGCAACCCACCTTGGGGCCAGTGCCTTTGGGAATTGCAGCTCGATGGTGAACTAAGGAGATTCAGAGACTATTTCCCCATCTGTCAGGTGAGGGTTGTTAGATTTTATGTCAGTCAGCATTCCGGCTCGCCCGGCTCGCCCGCCTCCGCCTCGCCTCAACCGCGAGGGCCGCGGCGGCAGTGTTCCCCGCCAGACTTCAAGTGCCAGCTCCCGACCGTACCTGGGCACTGCCGGACCTCAACCAACACATAACCACAAACACATCCACAAAGACACAAGCACAAACACACAACCATAAACCCAAACACACAATCACAAACACACAACCACAAGCACACAACCACAAACACAGCCACAAACACAATCACAACCGCAACCACAGCACACAACCCGAGGACCCACAAACAAAATCGAGAACCACAATACTCACGACCATGGCAACATGCTGCTCACCATGGCATGAAGACAAATGATTGAATTGTCATGGTGGGGGGTCACTTGAAGTAAAGTAATTCTATAAAAAAAACTTGTTCCAACATCTTAGACTTAGTGAATATCAGATATCGTATCATCTTCATGTCTGTCGTGGGCACCGGGAATCCCATAGCTTGTGTAAGTGCAACAACTCCAACAACCCTATCATCCTTGAATGTGACTGATGGTGCTTCCTAGGGATTGGCTTGGTGCACTTGGGCCGTTGTTGGTTGAGATGACCTTTGGAATTGGTGTTGCGACATGCTGACCAGATAGTTGACGCATCAAACCAGACAGCTGTCGAAGTGAACTTGACTTGGCCAAACTGGTTGATTCGGAACACTTCCAAATTACCAACCGTTACCAACACCACCCAAAGGGTGCTTGATAGACCCCCCCAAAGATGGATATATGTCCATCCAAACCACCCTTTGTGTGGTGCTGGTGCATTTTTTTGTCAGGGCCTATGTTTGGGCTGATGGCTTTTCCTGGAGCCAAGATGCTGGGGTGTCATTTTTGGGACAGGGCTGAACTTGCATCCACTTGCAAGATTTTGCTGTGCGCATGTGGAAACCACCCAGGATTTTGTCGAAGACAAGGCAAAGAGTAGAACTACTTTTGGAACTACCGCACCTCCCGGACACATGGGAAGCAGAAAGGTCAAACACCTTCTTTTGTCAAAGAATCCATCATAGATTAGAGGCTAAGTTTCGATCAGCTGATTGCAGCATGTTCATGTTGCTGCACAGGCTGGTCTTGCATGGCTACCCGGTGATCAATACCAACAACGCACACATCGCTCAAAACCACTTACCCCAGCACCTCGCCGGGCCGACCTCCAAATCGGGTCGATGGCGGGTCGTGGTGTATTTCGATGTCATGCCGATGACGGCGTAGAGATCGAAAGCAGTTTCCTCTCCAAGCCAGTGGTTTTTGAGGTTCCATTCAATCTTCCAGGGCGTAATTGAATAGGCATGACTCAAATCATGAACATAGAGCGACTTAGTGGCAAGCATTGTGCAGCCATGGCGACAAGAATCTCTGCAATGCTCGTGAATGGGGAGAAGATGTACCTCAAAGTCATGCCAGAGATGACGGGTAGGCAGCTCAAGCAGCAGATCAAAGAAACGCAGCTTTTGGATGAAATGACTCGGCAGACTACTGCTGTGGAGATTGTTGTTGGAGACAAACTGCTGGGCAATGACGAGAAAGTTGCCAATGCGGGGTTGACGGAATCGCTCGTCACCGTTGTTTTCAAGCCAAACACCGTGAGATGCTCCAACAAAGGTGCAATCACTAGCTTTGGCAGTGAAATTGACTTGGATCTTTTTCTTGTCGTTGACATTCCAGATGATGAAACACAAATTTCTGACAGAGCGTTTGAAGACTGCCAACCGCGATTGGCCCGATTGAACATCCCAGATTCAGTGACCCGCATTGGGAATCAAGCCTTTCTGGGGTGTTACTGTTTGGCGAGCTTGACCATCCCAGAATCGGTGACCCACATTGGGTATTCTGCCTTTGAGGGTTGCAGCTCTGTGCTTAGCTTGACCATTCCAGGCTCTGTGACTCACATTGGGGATAGTGCCTTTGCGGACTGCACCTCGTTGGCACACTTGACCATCCCCAACTGCGTGACCCGCATTGGGAGTGGTGCCTTTCGTAATTGCATCTCTTTGGAGAGCTTGACCATCCCAGAATCGGTGACCCTAATTGGGGATTCTGCCTTTGAGGGTTGCAGCTCTGTGCTTAACTTGGCAATTCCAGGCTCGGTGACTCACATTGGGAATGGTGCCTTTGCCCGTTTCACATCCTTGGCAAAGTTGACCATCCCAAACTCCGTGACGCACATTGAGAGTTGTGCCTTCCAAAGCTGCAATTCCTTGGTAAACTTGAACATCCCCAACTCAGTGACCCACATCGGGAGTGGTTCATTTCGTGAATGCATCTCTTTGGAGAGTTTGGCTCTCCCGGAATCGGTGACCTTCATTGGGGATTCTGCCTTTGAGGGTTGCAGTGCTGTGGTTCACTTGACAATTCCAGGCTCGGTGATTCACATTGGGGATAGAGCCTTTGCTGATTGCACATGCTTGGCAAATTTGACGATCCCAAACTCTGTGACTGACATCAAGTGTTGTGCCTTCCAAAGCTGCGCCTCTTTGGTGGGCTTAAACATGCCCAACTCAGTGACCTACATTGGGAGTGGTGCCTTTCTTGATTGCATCTCTTTGGAGAGCTTGACCATCCCAGAATCGGTGACCCTAATTGGGGATTCTGCCTTTGAGGGTTGCAGCTCTTTGCTTAGCTTGACAATTCCAGGCTCGGTGACTCACATTGGGGAGAGAGCCTTTGAACATTGCAGCTCTTTGTCCAGTTTGACAATTCCCAACTCAGTGACCCACGTTGGGCATCGGGCCTTCATGGGTTGCAGCTCTTTGGCAAACTTGACCATCCCAGACTCTCTGACTCAGATTGCGGATGCAGCCTTTGCAAACTGCAGCTCTTTGCAGAACTTGAGCATGTCAAATTCATTGATCCAAATTGCGGATGGTGCCTTTGAGAATTGCAGTTCTTTGAAGACCTTGATCATCCCAAATTCAGTGACCCACATTGGGGACAATGCCTTTGAGGGTTGCACAGCCCTGGCAAGCTTGACTATTCCAAAGTCAGTGACGCACATTGGGCACAATGCTTTTGAGGGTTGCCATTTGTTGACAAGAAACACCAACCCTCGTGGAGAGAGTGCGAGGTTTGCGCGGACGGAATCTCAAGTGAACACATTTCCAGGCTGCAGCATTGTATAGTTTCATTTGTGGCGGCTGTTTCGAAAATCTGTCGCTGGCGCCCCTCAGCCGCCAATCCAAGCTTTCCAGCAACTGCAGCGTTTCTATTCTGCAGGTGCAGAGATGCAGCTGGAAACGGTCGCAGTTCTCAACAGAGAGCTCTTGCTTTGATCGCTTGACCTCAACGATCCAGAAAGGGGCGCGGGTTTGGGGGGGGCAGAGTTCTTGATTGAACGCTCTTGGCTTTTATAGCTTTTTACCTGAGGTTTGGACGAGCGGGGCTGGTAAGGACTTGACACTCTGCCTCGGAGGCCAATCCCTGAACACTTCCAAGGTATTACATAATTACATTCCAGTTCCCAGACGCTCCATGGGACTGCCACCGGCAGGAGGATGTGGTGGTTTCACAGCGGCTGGGCGAAGGAGATGTGGCAGGCGCCGATTTCGCTCGTGCCGTTGGGCGTTGTCCGGTCTCAAAAGTTTATATTCCAGGAGGCACAAAGGGGTGGTTCTTTGTCTCTAAGTGAGTGGATAATGGGAACCCCCATCCTCCAATGGGCACCCCTTTGTGACTTCTGGTTATTTATATATCTTTCCACCCGGGGGGTGTGTCATATGGGACATATAAACCAGCTCTGCGATTTCGAGCTGACTCTAGCTGCTAGCTTTCGGACATCCAATTTAGAAGACCGGTGGTTTTTCGCCGTGTTCGTCCAAAGCACCGTCTTCTAGTCCGTGGGTTCCAGTGACTTTTTCAATACATTCTTCGAATTGGCATCCACCCCTTGGTCATTGCACTGGCTCACCGTTCGTCGCGGTGTGCTTCTGGGACCTCGCTTTCAGCTTCTCCTCTCCTCTCCGTCGAACGTCCGCGAAACTGCCAAAATCTGAGGAAGAGCAACATCGGGAAATTGGGCGCCTATGTTTCTGCGCGCTTGGCGGAGGCGTGGCGGAGGAGAAGCTTTGTAAGAGTTGGGAGCGCTTGATTTTTCTCTGGGAGCTGAAAGGCAGCTGAAAAGGAGCTATGGGGTTCAAAGGGTCTCACAGTGCTTGGATGATGTGGTTCTCTTCGTTCTTTGGTTTTGAATGGTCTTAATTTTAATGTTTGGGCTGCGGGCTAGTTGTTTCAATGGAAGGTGGCATGTGGTTGGATTAGGTTGGTTACGGTTAGCTGTGATGGTTGGGTGCCCTCCCGCTTCACATGAACACATGGCCAGAGAGCGGCGGACCACATGGCCACTTGAGGTTGGAACTTGGAACCCTCGCGCTTGGTCTTGGAGTGAGAGTCAAAGACATGTCATCCAATCTCTCAAGGGTGCTTTTCTTTTGCATGTTGATGAGGAGTTGGGAGCACACGTCACTCAAAAATCCGTTTCCATCCTTGGGGACATACCCAAAATGGATTTCTTCTTCTGGTCGTCCACTCGCTACCCCACCGCGAGACCAACAAGCCCGGGTTCGACACCGAGGAGGTTCATCAGCGTGGATTTGCTAGGAAATAATGGGTTCGACCAGTTTCACCTTGGAATCCCCAAAAGTCTTCTCCACCTTCTCGGCCCTCATATGAAGCACATGCTGTGACAAAGGGAACGCTCCAAGACATGCGCATGGCCTGGCATTTTAAGGGGGAGGTTCCTTTTTCTGGGTGGTGTTTTCCTGTAAGACATCCGGGAAGTTTCGCCCTCCAAAACGAGATATCTTAGGATGCATGCCACGTATCCATCGCTTCTTCCGCACCTAGAAGTACTATGAAGCTATACTTGACTGCACCCCTGCTGAATGAAGGGTCCGTCACGTCTGGGCACGACCAATTCACGATGTGTCTGGTGAATTCACCCTGGTTTCTGGCCCTGGCCCTGGCTCCCCGGACAGTTAACATGGAACAACCAATGCCAATGGGACTGAGGTGTGATGTTTCAATCTGGTTCAATGACTCCACGCCCCTCCGCCGCTGAAGTTCGCCCTCCGCCAGGACGCTGAAGTTCGCCTCGCTGTGCGCAGTCCCTTGGAGAAACATGGAGAAAGGGCGGAATGATGAGGGCAGTCCTAAGGGGTGCTCATAAATTCATTCCTAAGGTGTGCTCAACCCCTAAGTGGCTTCACGCAGAGAACCTGGTGCCCAGGGCGAAGCTTCGGCGTCTGTCGACACTCCGTCCAACTGCGTTGCGATTGGCCGATCGAGTGATGGGGGTGATGTTTTCTCAGACCCAGACGCCATATATGCCTACATTAAGCCCTCTGGCACCAGCCCTACTGGAAGTCCCAGACAGGTCGTGTCTGGGAGATGTTGGAAGGGTTCCCGGATGGGCTGTGCCCTCGTGCCCAAAATCCGATGCTTTAGGGTCAGTCATGCCGTACGGTACGAGGAACCAACGACGGTACGAGCCCTCGGATCTACTCCTGGGCATGGGCCATTCCCAAAGTTCCAAAGCCTGGCAGTGAGGGTGCAGTTCCCATGGATGGATATGGATGGTGTGGGCATGAGTTGAAGATGTGAGTGATGCTTTGCACAGCATCCCCCTGTGCTGCATGGACCGCATGGCTTTGTGGTTGGCACGAGTTCGAACAACAAACAGCAACCTGGATGTGCATGGACTGTGTGTGCGTAACATTCCCTCATCCCCGCAACTTCTGCGTGGAACGCTGGTGATAGGAGTGATTGCAATTGATTCATCTGGTTTGGCATCCTCAAGCAACATGAGACGTGGTTGTTACATTGACAGAGCCACGGGCGATTTCAGCACTTCGCCAGTCCGGACCGGGTGAACCCTGTCGCGGCACGGACCACCCTGTTCCAATCGATCCCGCATTTGCACCAAAAGCTAAGCTTTGGTGGGCTTTCATCAGATTCAGATCGCAGCAGAAGTCAAAGCGAACGAGTCGGGAACCTTTCCCGGAACCGCAAGAGCAAGCTGGTTACCTAAACATGAAACGAATGCGAATTATATTGGCCTCCTCATCCTCCAAAAGTGTTTAACAGCGAATGTATGCAAACAAATTGGCCAGAAGTGTGACAAACAGTCGTTCCATTCCTCTGCACCAGGGCGCCCCCAAACCCCTTTCGACAAAGGAAGGTCATTAAGTCATGAATCCAAACAAAAATTCACCAACCCCAGGGAGGGCACTGTTTCAGCTGCCGCCAACCTCCTGCACCTTCCGCTTCTTCCGCGGTTCCTTGGCGTCCCCAGGCGTGGGGCCCAAGGCGGGCAGCCAGGCCCTAAGGGCCCTGTCCATCGCCACCAGGTCGGTCGAAAGCGTCCGAGCTCGGTGTTTCGGGGGCGTTTTCGGGACAGATGGACCTGTGGGAAGAGACCGGTGGGGCGACTGGGCGACTGGTTTTGGTGGGTGGGGTGTTGGTAGAGACTGGCAGCAGTGACCCTCAAGAAGAGGTTGGTTCCTTTTTTCGGATGCATCGTGAACCTCCACCTACTTACACACGTTGGATGGCCTATGGTGCCCCCTTTGTCTATATACATTAGGAGGGTTTTAAGATGCTAGAAGGGTCAATGTAGGCATATACCATCCCTACAGGTCAATGATCTCATTTTACCGGAGTTGGTCATACCATGTCATACCAAAATCACTATACTGCACTGCACTATACTAGACTATACTTATTCGGAGGAGAAAGGCAAGGTTTCCAGACTGGACTTGTAGGGCAATGTAGGGCAAAATTGGAGTGCTTGGGATCTTGCCATGGTATATGGGAGATACATTGGTCAATTGATGTACTGTAATTTTTTCCCGAGAGCGCCTGCGAAGGGTTCTTCGTAAAAAAACATCTGCAGAACTACGTCTCATCTACATCTTCACATCTTCACCTCTGCACATCTACATTCTCACCTATATCTCTGCTCATCTTCACATCTGCACATCTACATCTCTGCTCATCTTCACATCCTCACATCTACATGTCACATCTTCACCTCTCGCTCTTCTTTACTTTCTCTCTTAAGGCCGGGGGCGGTACCGCCGGAGCACCACGAAACGCAACCCTCAGCAGAGATCGTGCGTGTCGAGGGCGCGAAATGCAGGCGAGAGCGCGTTTTGGCCCGGTCCGGCGCAACCCTCTGCGGAGATCGTGCGTGTCGAGGGCGCGAAATGCAGGTGAGAGTGCGTTTTGGATTTGTCCGGCGCAACCATCTGCAGAGATCGTGCGTGTCGAGGGCGCGAAATGCAGGTGAGAGTGCGTTTTGGATTTGTCCGGCGCAACTCTCTGCGGAGATCGTGCGTGTCGAGGGCGCGAAGTGCAGGTGAGAGTGCGTTTTGGACTTCTCCGGCGCAACCCTCTGCGGAGATCGTGCATTTGTCGCGGGCAACTCTCTGCGGCACGTGCGCGCACAGCTTGACTTGCAGCATCTTTGGAATCGTTTTGCCGCACGTGGATCTGGTAGGGCTTTGACGTGCAAATGTTGTTTTCGTTAACTCCAGCTGGGTAGCCGCGACTCCGTTAACCTCACTATATACCATTGTTGCTCCATTCTTGGAAGGGACTGTCCGTGAGAGTGGAGCTGTTATCACAGTGGAACAGAATTTGTTGTTTTGAACTATTTGTCACGTACAGACTTGTAACACTGATCAGTGATGTAGTAGGTGTTAGGGATCTTTCAAAGCGATCAGACATTCGCCTTTGGTAGTCATGGATCTGGCTACTGACGCGCTGCCGAGTGGAGAACAGAGCGGATATCAGAGACGCTTATGCTGATAGGAGCCGGTAGACTGCTTTGGATTATGTCACAGACCAACACAACTACAGCTTTAAGTCCATAGAAGCGTGGCCTTTGGATACTGCTGTCATTTACAGGCCTACGGATCGAGCATCGCTGTTGCTTGGAAGTTTGAAAGCAGCGTGTAGCTTGCAAGACACTGTGGAGACCTCGTGTTTGAAGGTTACCGTGGTCGTCACCATGTGCGTGCAGGAGATGAAGATCGAAGGTGCACCGACAGACTGGACGCAATACTTTCAACAGCAAGATGTCTTTCACATTCAGTGTCAGTTGGAGGACACGACATTGAAGCCGGCAAGGCGTTGGCTTGAGAAAATTCCGGACTTGTTGGCTTCCTGCTTGCGACAGTGGAAAATCGTTTGCAACCAGTTGTGGGAACAGTCCATGCTGGCCGTCACCCAGGACAAATCCATGCACGTGCTCTTTCACTGCTTTGGTGGCATCATTCGGAGTGCGGGGATTTTGTGTGCTTGGCTCGTTGTAGCTTACGAACATTCCGCGCAGGAGGCCGTGCAGTTGCTGCTTCAAAAAAGACCAGCTTTGCGTCCTTGGCGCAATCGACCCTATGTCTTGGAAGCATTATGGCACCTGGAAGGTTTGCGCGCTGAGTGGCAGAGAGACTTCAGCGCAACACAGCGAGGCTAATTTATGTCGCGGGTCGTCCGTCGAAACTGTTCGGGACGAACCTACGACATCATCACTCAAATGACGCGATCAGCGGTTGCCACAAAAGTCATCGTGACGTTAGTATGTGTGTACTTCACCTTCATGACAAACGATGTTCGCTTGGAATACATGAGTCGCTTGTCATGATCGTGACGTCGTTTGCTTTCAGGTCGCCCTTACGTCCATTTCGTGGGAACTTCAGTGTGAAATGTACGTTCTTATACGTTCTTCAGTTTCATTCGAACCTCTTCAGCGTTGTACTTGCACAACGAAGGTTGACGTTGCGCTGCCGTTGCATCAACGCATCTACGTCTACACCCCCTCGCCTCTGTACATTTACATCTTCACACGCTCACATCCGCAGATCTACCTCTCCACCTCCACACACACCCACACATCTGCGCATCCATATCACATCTGTAAATCCACACTGTCACTCCTTCACATCCGCCCTCTCTTTCTGTCTTTCTACATATCTTTTCTCTCACCTCTGTACATTTGCATCTTCGCACGCTCAGATCTGCAGATCACATCCACACTGTCACTCCTTCACATCCGCCCTCTCTTTCTACATATCTTTTCTCTTAATATTTCAAATCTAATTTCTTCGCAACTTCTTACTCAATAACAGATTGTATAAAGAAGTCATGGCTCTTGGACACCTTGATTTTAAATATTTCATGACCCGACAGTGCTGGACAATCACCTGTCTCGCTCTCGGGCCAACTGTCGTCTAGTTTTCATGTTAATGTTGGAACAATATGTCCACCTGGCGCCATCACCAGCCAACCCACGCCTACACCCGGACCTGGCACGTTCTCGGCCTGACGCCTCGGACGTCAGGTTGGTGGCGAAGGATGGATACCGCTTGCTACTGGCGCCGCGCGAGGAGGAGAAGGCCGAGGCCAGGTGAGGGCGACGTGGGAGTGTGGTGGTCCAGAAGGTGGATGGCATGTTACCATACTACCCCTAGGGCTCCAAGTGCCTCCTCAGAAGGTATTTGGACCCTCTGAACCCACCCCAAACACCTACTACTGTGACATGGTCCCATGAGTGGTACTCGTAGTATCTCGTAGTCATAGTCCATCATAGTCCCATGGTATGTTATTTTGTTGGAAGACTTACACTGTATGAGGGATCTCTAGACAGGGCACCCAGGAAGGTATACTCTAGCCCAGTACCTCAGTCTAAGTGCGTACAAGTACCGCTTCAGTAACTGGAGGAGGTGCATGGTGCAGGAGGAAACTCCAATTATCCCAGCAAGAGATCCAAAGTTTGATGTGTGTGACCGTAAGAACCGGTTCGCGGGACCGCACGCTTTGGGGCAAACCCGCTCCTCCGGTGCCCCAGTCTTCTCCGCTGAGCCGCCAGGATGCCGGACCGTCCGTGCGGCAGCTGGTGCTGGCGGCTTGGACGGGAGACCGCATGAAGCCCGGAAGCGGGTCTGGGGGTGTCTGCGGGTGGGTGCCATGTTCGGGTCCACTCATGCACCTGAGGAGTTACAACTGGAGGTGTAAAAGACTGGACGACTCCCCCCTAGACAGTACCAGGGCTCCCAAAGGCCTACCTCCTCCAGCTTCGCGCCGTGTGACGCGGAACCTTAAGATCTACGGGGACATCTCGCTGGGAGCCAAATTCCCTCCGAGGGGATTCGGTATGATTCGGTCGCCACAAAGCGCGCTCTCACCTTCTACTAGCTCCCACTGGGACCGGTTGTGTCAACAGATTTTGCAGAGCCGTAGCAAGGCATTTCGAGGCGATCTACAAAACAGGAACCAGGTACCAGGATCATCCTGTTTGGGTGTCCAAAAAACTACCCTACCCTACTTACAGGTCTCCAGACAGGGCACCCGTTGGAAGTGCTAGGTATCAACATTTTAAGTAGGTCAACGCAGAATGTTGGACGTGGCGTCATTTTTCTGCTCAGGTTTGCCATCGGATGCCCTTGGAAGAATGAACCGCACAAAAGCGCGTGCTGCTTCGCGCAGCAGGGCCTGCAGGGTTTCACTAGCGCTTCAGGGCGCGGATATGGAATACATGCCCCATCTGCATGTGCAGCATGCTGATGAAGCCAAATACATGGAACAGAGGGCATGAAAAGAAAGGTATACCGTAGAAGCCTTTAAGAAAGGCTCCACAGCATTCCCCGGCCAGACTTGTTCATCTCCGGCGTTTGAGTGCACCATTGAGTGCACCAAAGGGTCTTGCAGCAGTTAAGGCAATGAATTCAATGAATCGGATTAATCTTCAGGTGCTGGGCTGGGTGCCCCGATGGGCGCAGGATGAGCCCCATTTGGGGTATGGGAGTGCCCCAGGAGACTTCCAGAGCCGATCAACAAGAAGAGCACTGGGGCGGAATAGATACCCAAGGTATTGGTATTAGATGCTGGAACTATGTCTTCTATCGGTTGGAAGGAGATACATGGAAAAAACAGTTGGCAATGGCTAGTTGTCTAGGTACAGCTGTTTGGCACATACCCTCATCTCTACCCTTGAAATCTACTCCCTTCCCCCCTAAGCAGCACCAAACAAGAATAACTAATAACCAAACACCAGAAGTGCACGTGCTCCCCAACCGGCAGCGGCGACCCGCGGGTGGACGTCCACCCGCTCAGGCTCATCACCTTCGACGGAGAGGCGAGCCGCCGAGCCCGCGTGCGGCGTGGCGTCTTGCGGGCGGGAAGGCGCGAAAGGGACAGTCCCTTAAGCGTCATGAAGGGAAGCGTCCCGACGCAGCGGATCCAAGGCTAGGTCTGGCGTCTGAAGGTGTGGCCCCCCCCTCGTATGTGTAGCCAGATGTGCTCAGAAGGTTGGTCCATATCGAAGAGACCTATACCAGCACCGAACGCGGAGGGTTGTTAGGCCCGTGCCCAGGTTTCAATTGGTGACCTGTGAAGTCGGTGCTGGTAGATCTTCCAATGATCTTCTAACTACGCAATGTCAGCGGACCCCTCTTCTTGGCCGTTGCAATGGGTTGGCCCTTCGTCTACCAAAAAAACCCGCCTTTCAAGGCCGACCGGCCTGCGCCTCCTCCGTTCCCGTCAGGCCCGGCCGGTGCGCGCCAGCACCGCCGCGGCCACCACGGCGGTGCCCACCGCCGCGGCCAAGCCACTGGCACGGCGGGCCACGACGGCGGCCACGACGGCGGCCACCACCGTGGCGAGGACAACGGCGGCACCGAAGGGCAGCAGCACCGCGGCGAAGGCGACCGCAGCAGGGGCGGTGTGTGTGTGTGTCCACCCCTGGACAAAGGGTTTTCCAACACTTTTTCTCACAGGCAGGGGCGTGTGGCCTTCTTGTCCTACCACACGCAACGAAGCTGTGGACAAGAAGGGGAAGCAGGGACTGATCATCCCTGTGTACCTGCTGAACTTTTGACCACGCTGTCTAATTTGCTTTGTTTGCTTCCATGGTTCTTCATGTTTCCACCCCCAAACCTTTTCCTACCGCAGACGTGCAGCCGCTTTTGATCCTTTTGCAGCCGCATTTGAACGTGTGAGTGCACTTGTGAACAATGTTCAACAATACTTTTCAGCGGACTTTGCCACCATGCCGTTCCCTCGCCTTCCTTCCCATCGGAGTAATTGAGTTAACTGAAAACCAGTGTCAGAGTGTGTCTCGCTCAGCCGTCCCACTCGGGTGCTGAGTGTGATCCCCGTCACAGGGGCGCCGATCTTACATGGGAAAGCAACAGCCACAACACACCACCACTCACTGGACTCTCACAGGAAGTCACCGACACCCTCACCGAATCAACAGACATACTGGCCGCCGGGCCAAAAAACGGTTCTTGTGGAATACATCGGATATCAGCTTTCAGATTTCGGATCCGTCATGTTCATTTCTCCACGTCATGCTTGTTTCTCCACGTTTTGCCATATTAATGCCGTGACTTTTTCATCAGCAGAACTCAAGTTTGGGCATTAGAGCTCTTCAATCTAATTCGAGATGCATGAGCACACAACTGACAACAAGCTCACCTCCAGCACCACTTTACAACATACTCCCCATCAACACCAGGGATGAGACTTTCAACAACATTATGACAATACAACTCGGCACTTTTCCGCTGCATCTTTGCTGCTGCGCCGCGCCGTGCCATAGCTACGACTACGATATGCATTTTCCGTGGCCATACGCTCACGCCACGCCACCACCATTACCTACCACACAACCTCAACCCACATGGCCGCTGCCACAGCCGTCAACTGCACCCACCTTTCCCTCGCCACAACCATCGGCATACCCTCACCCACAACCACAACCATTTCAACCACCACCTTTTTTGTCCAGTCCGACCGCCACTGCACTGACCTACGGCACTCCGTCCACCTGGACGTTTGTGCAACCATCTCACATGCCACCGCAACCCACACATCCAACTCCAGTATTTCCGTCAGCAGCACCTCCCCCTTCATACCTGTTGCCACCACTACATCCCACACCACCGGCTGAACCTCCTCCCCCCAATACACTGACACATCCCCTTCCAACACCACAACAAGCAGCGGTTGCCCATCACCCATCCACAGACCCACAATGCGCCATCCCCCAGGGCGTTTGGCAACCTTACTCAGCCTTTCCCCCAGTCACACAACCTCCACCCCAACCGTTGCCTCCGCCGCCCCCTCCACAAACCATCGGCGCTTCACCACCAGTCCAGCCTCCACTCCCACAACAGACGCCATCGGACCCCACACCACCAATCCAACACGTCACCACAACAGCCACGGACCCTCCATTGCCGGTCCAAAGCACGACCCCTCCAGCTGCTGGATCCCAACCTTCCGCATCACCATCCATTACATCAGCGACACCAGCTCCTGGACCTTCACTACCTGCAACGGACAAGCTTGACACCACCGCCTCACCGGCACCACAACCACCTTCCCCACAGCCACCACACAGCAGTCGCCGCCACCACCACAAGAGCCGACGCAAGTCTGATCATCACCGCCGAGGACGCCACCACCACCGCCGCCGACATCGACATCACCACCACTCAAAGCACCACAGCGCAACCCGGCGACGCCGTTCACCCTCGACATCCACTTACACATCCAGCCTTACACCATCCCGCAGTCGCTCACCACCACAACCCATCGATTTACGCCCCAACACTGAACACACCAACCCCGACCCCTCTCAATTTCCCACCACAGCCGTCCTTCGTCGCCCAATCAACCGTTGGCGACCTCCACCCAACTTTCACACTTTTTCACCTGCAGACCAACTCCTGGAATGGCTTGAATTCCACGCCACCCAACTCGACAACCCCAACCGACCACAGCACCAGTACATTGCCAATCTTCTCACAGACTGCAACATCACCTACAAGGAGATCACCGATTTCCGGCAATATACTCACGCCAGGTGGAACGACACCACTCACCAATACGATCAATTCCAATACTACGCCATTTCACTTCCTTTCCTCAACACAAAAGCCACCACACCAGAACCGCCCGCGGTTTCCCGAGCCACATCAACCCACCGGGAAGTCGCCCACATCAACGCTGGCCATACAGGCCCGGTCGGCAACATTGCCAACATTCTACGTCAAGGTCGATTTTTACCCAGCACACTTCACTTTGCCAACTACCCTGGCTTTTTTGCCCAGGGTGTCCGCATCACCCACAATCAACCCCATGATCACAACGAATTTGCCCGTATCATCCACAACACCTGGCAACTCCACAAGAACTCCCATTCCCTTATCATCACACTCCTTGCTTGGGGTGCCGCCACAAAATATACCTCCGGAGGTGAAGAACATGCCATGAACCTCCTCAACGATTACCACGGCGCAGTCTTCCACCAGAAGGGCCGCTGCTGGGTGATCCACCCGGACCATGCCATTGTCAAAGGACTGGCCTGGTCCACAAACTCCACTCCACCGGACACATAACACCACTGTCCAACACCTCCACACCACTACCACCTCTACCTCCACCTTTTGTCTCACACCACCACATAACCTTTGCCTATAGCAGCCAAAAAGAGCCTCTTGCAGCGGCCACGCGAATTCTGAACCCTCAATTTTTCAAGTTCTGCAGGTTTTGCTCTAAAAAATCTTATTCCGAATCTTACCAGCTGTCTTGATGAAGTTTTTCACATGTCGGAGTTTCATGCACTTGATTGTTCAAAAGGACTTGCATTTTCGCACCATGCCCGTGGGAATTTGATGCTCGTTTAATTCATATGCACGGCCACGTGATGGCGCGCTCCCGCAGATCAGCTGCTGTCCTGCTGCCCTGGCGCGCTGCCGCAGCAACCTGTGACGACTCTGTGTTACTGTACATCCCTATATCTCCAAGTCATGAGCAGCACACTGACACCTCCACACAACGACACCCCAACTCTCCTACATCGAACCGCAGTGGTACTTTCGCAGGTCCAAAACCTGCTCAGACAAGCAACAGATATTGTAGCACACCTTCACACTCACTTCCTCCACCACATCCACCAAGCGGATCCCACTTTCCGCCAACATTTTCAGCCACTCCCAACTCCGCCTATCCACCCTATACGTTTACCATCCACCACCTCCTCCTGTGACTCAGCACCATCTCGACCACCCATCCGTTTACCAGCACCACTCTCAAAAGACTCCGACGACACACCAACAACACCCCCAGCTCCACAACCTGCTACAACACGCAAGCGGAAGCAACCACTCCCACCACCACTGAACCAACAAGTGGACTGGGACGCATGGGACGGCGACGCCGATTGCCGCCTGGTTGAACTCAAAGAAAACCCCAGACTTCGTCCCAACTGGGTTACTGTGGCTCGCCGAGTGGGCTTCTCAGTCGAGCAATGTCAAGCCCGATGGCAAGAACTCAAAGACATGCAACGTCAGCAAGACCAGCAACTTTCCTCCACACCACTACCAACAGAACCACCACGACAAGCACCTTCCCTCTCACCAACACCCACCTCACCAGCAGTTTCCCC